GTAATTAATGCTAAACCCGCAGTTCAGCTTCCCTGCTCCCCCGTGCCTGAGTGTGTGTGTGTGTGTGTGTGTGTGTGTCTGTGGTGCACGCTTGCGCCTGAGGTGAAATTCAAATTAGACAGCTTAAGTGGCGAGCTATATTAGGCGGCTTTAGGAATGTTTAAATTAATTATAGCCGAGGAAAAGAAGGCTCTTCCATTTCAAGCTATTTAGCAGCCCATTTGAAACCGGGCTCGTTATCGAACAATCCCTCAGTGTTCGTCAACAGGCTTAACCTTACTTTAAAAGTAACATGACGTGGGAGGTAAATTGTGGACACTTCTGCTCAGTGTTTGCACAGTGATGATAATAATGAGAATAATAATAATAATAAGAAGAAGAAGAAGAGAAGAATCGTTGCATTTGACATAGCGCCTTATCACATCGTTGAGACGTCTCAAAGGGCTTCACAGGATGTAGTGTAAAGTGGAGTGACTGTGTATTTTGTGGGCGAAACCCGGCTGCCAATCGAGCACAGCAGGGTCCCCGCAAACAGTCGTGGATCGAGTGACCGCATTTTTTGGTGTGGTGGGTTTATTACCCCCAATTGATTAACAACCAGGTTCCTACTTACTGCTAGGAGAGGCGTGCGGAGTGGTGGGTGGGGAGTGGTGGGGGAGAGAGTGGGGGGGACGGAGGGAGGTGGGGGAGGGAGGTGGGAGCTGGGAGGGGTGAACCCCACAACCTTCTGACGCACTGAATCTCAGTCGAGGTGACATCATGTGCGATCAAAGTATCAGCCGATAAACAGAGAAGCAAAGCTCTTGACGCTCACTCCCCAAATCGCCGTGAATGAAAGCAGCACGAAGGTAACTTTGACAAAGTCATCTCTGCAGTACCTTCCAGGAGCTTTGGGCTGAAACGCCAGTTTTTCTGGATTTAGAAGAGAGATTTCACACCGCTCTTCCAGTCAATAGTTCTGCCTTAGTCATTGTAATCCTATTGTTTGTTGCTAAGAGGCAACCAAGGGTTTAGTAATTCAGCGGTATCTGTTTTTCAATTGAAACTTGGGATTTGGAAGAAACAGGAGCACTTCTCCAAGGCTTGTCTTTGGCAAGGAAACAGCTTCCAACACACTCAGCGCAGCAACAACAACAACAACAACAACTTGAATCGATATCGCACCCTTCGCAGAACACCAGTACGTTACAGCACGGAGAGGTGCCAGGAGAAACTCCCTCCTCTTTTCAAACAGAGATCTTTAAACTCAACCTAAACAGGCACAGACGACTGACCCGAAGCATTGGGCCTCCAGCAATGCAGCGTTCCAAACACACACCACCATCCACTGCCCACCCACCCCCCCCCACCCCACCCACCCGCAACCCCAAGCCCCCCCTTGTTTCCCAGCACTGGGTCGGAGCGTCAGCCTAGACCGTGAGCTCAAAGTCACCCAATGTGGGGGCTTGAACCCGCAACCTTCTAGCTCAGAAGCCGGCGTGCTAATTGTTTGACACCGATGGCAAGTGACAAATATCGCTGCTGTCTCGCAATCTCCCACCGGGTTCAGAGCGAAGCTTTTCACAAGTCACTGGAGCTAGAAATCAGGTGACAAACGCTCAGCTGCCCACAGTTGTCAAGACAAAAGCCCAAAGAAGTACAAAAAAAAATATCCTCTGTGTTTCTTTTATATATAAATCAAGCACTGCTTCTCCACCAGCAAACAATAAATCACGTCAGCAGAATGAGGTCCGAGCAGCACAGACTGACACCTCACTCACCTTTCCATATACAGTATATGGAAAGAATGAGCTACCGTGGCTTAAATATACATGGGTTAAACATGGTGCAGGAACCTTAGAAACGTAGAGACAGGAATAGGACGTTCAGCCCCTCGAGCCTGTTCCGCCATTCTATAAGATCGTGGCTGATCTGTTCCTCAAGTCCGATTACCCGCCCTTTACCAGACCTGACAAATATCTAGAAGATGTGAATGATCCAACCGTAATCCACAGCCTTTTGGGGGAGAGAGCTCCAGACTTCCACTCCCCTTTGGGTTAAAAACTGCCTTATAATATAACTCCTAAATGGCTTAGCTCTAATTTTAAGATGATGCCTCCTTGTTCTGGATTCCCCCACCAGAGGAAATAGTTTCTCTTGCCTTAATGTCACCCAGCCAGGACAGTACTTGTATACTGTGTTTGTTATGTGTTCGTCATATAAAATCCCACTTATACATGACTTTTTCCAACTCAACGTCAGCGAGATCGAGGCCCTCCTGATTGGCTCGCGCCAGCGCCTCCGCACTTCGGGCGCTGGCAGCATCAGCATCCACGGCTGTACACTCAACCTCACTAAGCCAGTCAGGAACCTGGGGGTCTTGTTTGACCCTGAACTGTCCTTTCTCCCCCACATCCGCGCCATGACCGGCACTGCCTACCACCACCTCCGCATTATTGCCAGAATCCGCCACTGCCTCACCCCTCAGGTTGCCCAAACCCTCACCCACACATTTGTCACCTCAAGGCTCGATTACGGGAACTCCCTCCTCATCGGCCTTCCCACCTCTTCCCTTCACAAGCTGCAGATCATCCAAAACTCTGCAGCTCGTGTGCTCTCACGCACCAGGCTCCGTGACCCCATCACTCCCACCCTCGCCCGACCCTACTGGCTCCCCATCCCCCAGAGGATCGAGTTCAAGATCCTCGTCCTCACTTTCAAGGCCATCCATGGCCTCGCCCCCTCCTACCTCTCTGACCTGCTGACTCCCTACCAACCTGCCCGCTCCCTCCGTTCAGCGGGCTGCGGTCTGCTCCATGTCTCCCGCCCGACCATCGGTGGCTGGGCTTTCAGCCTCTCTGCCCCCACACTCTGGAACTGCATCCCACGGTCCCTTCGCCTCACTTCCTCCCTCGCCTCCTCCAAGGCCGGTCTCAAGACGCTTCTCTTCGACCGCGCCTTTGGTCGCTCTCCCACCTCTCTGCCATCCCTCACCCCTACCCCCACCCCTCCCCCATGCTCGGGTCCCGACCCCTGACTGTCCAGCGCTTTGGGACATCCTCCTGACGTGAAAGGCGCTCTATACATGTAATTTTGTTGTTGTTGTTTGTTTGTTGTTGTATCTGACGTTCTCCCCTTTTATCCTCCTTTATCCTCTTCCACCTTCAATACATCTTCACACTCTTTCCAGCAAACGCTTGGTGTGTTTGTCAGGTGTATATTGCCCTCTCCTGGGTAGGATGGAAAATGCAGATCCAGTTAAAATCTAACCGGTTCCTAGTTCCAAATAACAACAACAACAAGATTACATGTGTATAACGCCTTTCACGTCGGGAGGACGTCCCAAAGCGCTGGACAGAGTACAGCATTTCAGACCCGAGCTGGGGTCAGGGGGGGAGAAGGGGGGTGGCCAATGGCATGGTCGAAGAGGAGGGTCTTGAGGTGGGACTTGAAGGAGGCTAAGGAGGGGGCGAGGAGGAGTGACTGGGGGATGGAATTCTAGAGGTTGGGGGCAGAGTGGCTGAAGGCTCTCCCGCCAATGGTGGGGTGGGTGGGTCGGGGGACGTGGAGCAGCCGGAGCCGGCTGAGCGGAGGCAACGGGCGGGTTGATAGAGGGTTAGGAGGTCGCAGAGGTGGGGTGGGATGAGGCCATGGAGGGCTTTGTATGTGAGGACCAGGATCTTGAACTATCCTCTGACGGATAGGGAGCCAGTGGAGTCGGGCGAGAGTGGGGGAGATGGGGTCACGGAGTTTGGTGCGGGAGAGGACACGGGCTGCAAATTCTGGATTATCTGCAGCCTGCGGAGGGAGGAGTTGGGGAGGTCGACAAGCAGGGGGTTTGCATAGTCGAGCCTAGAGGTGATGAAGGCATGAACAAGAGTTTCAGCGGCCTGAGGGGTGAGGTAGTGGCGGAGTCGGGCGATGTTATGGAGGTTAGGGAATAATAATGGGATTTAATAATAATAATTCCTGCATTTGATTATAGCCCCTTATCACGTTGTCGAGACATCTCAAAGTGCTTCACATAATATAATGTAAATGGATTGACCCTATATTGTGTGGGCGAAATTAATCTGTATTCAGTGACTATCGAGTGATCTCTGTGTGAAGGGTTGTTGTTCGGGAGAAATTCCTTTCTCTTTTCTCACAGCATCACCGGGCTTTTTAATGTCCACAGGACCTCGGTTTAACATTTAATGAAGGATATCACCTCCATTGGTGCAGTGCTCCCAAATTGCCCCCTCCCCAAATCCCTGTTCCAGTCATTAATTACCCCTTTGGGCCAACAACACTGTACCTGAGTCCTCTTGTTCTACAGTCTCGGTGAGTGGAACTCGAACCCGCAACCACAGATAAGAGCCGTAGAATGGAACAAGTGAGAGTGCAGGTCGTGGGGTGGGGAATAGCAATTCTTTCACTATAATAATAATAATAATCCTTGCATTTGATATAGTGCTTTATCACGTCTTCGAGCTGTCTCAGCGCTTCACAGAACACACTGTAAAGTCAACGGACTGTATTTTGCAGACGAAACATAATCTGCCCTTGAAGATTTACTCAGACAAGCACTCTGCAAGGAAGCCTTGTGTAAGCCTCTTTTGCTCTGAGTCAAAGTAAGATTTAATTGCATTGTGCAGGACTGAAGACAGGCACACAAATGAATCTGCCCTGAGTATGAATAGCTCTATTAAATATTAAAATACCAGGGGAAAAGTGGGGGCTAACCGCAGGGATCTCGGAACAAGAGAGTTTGTTCAGCAACACGTTGGTTACTTTACAATCCTTCTCACTGTATTGTATCCTGTAATAAAATTGCTTGGTTTGATATGGCGCCTTATCACGTCGTCGGGACGATTTAAAGAGCTTCACACAGCACATTGTAAAGCGGAGATTGACTATTTATTCGGGAGGCTAAACTGCGGCAGCCAACTGAGCGCAGCAGTGTCCCGCGAAACGGTCGTGGGCTGAGTGACCACATTTATTTTAGGGAAATAGGAAGAGGGGATGGCGTGCGCGGCGTCCGAATGTCATCACGGGTTAGTTTCCGCGGCCGTGACGTTGTGGGTGCGTCATTCCTACGTGTCTCGCGCGTTCCGACGTCAATTCTGGAACATTCTCTTGACCCGGAGTTTCTCCTCCTCTTCCTTCTCCTGCATCCTGGATTCCAGGATTAGCAGTTCCTTTTTCACGGTTTTCAACATTCGGGAGTCAAACTCCAAGACTTTGGCGTAATCGGCTTTGGCTTCCAGTTCGTTCCACACCTCAGAGTGAGCCTTGGCTCTCAGATAGTACGCTTTCACAGTGCCTGGGAAGGAACAGCAAGGTTAAGAGCTCAGTGAAGGAGATTCTCTTTCGGTCATCAATCAACAGATCATTTTTTCCGGTCCCATCTGATCTCACACCCTCCAGAACAGCCTCTCTCACAGGGTCAAGGCTGCTGCTTTTTTTTTTAAACAAGTCCCCGGTGTCCTGCCCTCGACCTCCCCTTCCTTGGCAACTTCCTATTCCAGACATTAATTACCCTTCAGCTAAAGAAAGACTTCCTGGCGTCCGTCCGGAAATTGCCCCCTTTGCAACTCGAAACCCATGCCCTCTACTATCTCGGTGCGTCCGAGAGTATTGTTCTGAATACCAGGCGTACGACATACGGAAACCCAACAACAACAGCAACTTGCATTTATAGACCAGTTATCCAGCCAACAGCCGGCCATTACCTGGGTGACTGTTGATGATGTCTGTAGTTTGCTCCAACACTTCATAATACTCAGCCATCCTCAGCAGGCACTGGCAGTAGTTAAGCACCAAAGTCACGACCATCTTCTCCAGTTTAAGCCAATGCGTCTCCCAGGGCTTTTCCTAACGTTGAAAGCAGAAGCGATGCCTTCAGGCCGTGTCGTCTGGGGTCGTTTTGCGCATCGGCTGCCAGCGATGTGAGGCGTTTGCTACAGCGCTCTCCCCTCGGGAGGACGTCTCACAACGCTTCGCAGGATTTTGCCGTCGGGTTTAGCGATTGTGCATCTTGTGGGCGAACTCGGCAGCCGATTTGCGCACAGCGACGTCCCATAAAACAGCCAGGGAGCTGTTGGGGAGTGTTGGGGGCTTGAACCCACAACTTTCTGACTCTGAGACGAGAGCGCTACCCACTGAGCCAGGCAGGGAGGGAGGCAGTCATAAGGACTAACACAGCACCACACAACACCGGACGGGACATTACCTTCGTCTGCAGGTTCTTCAAACAGATGACTGCCTCGCGATACTTGGTCACCGCCTCCTGGTATTTCCCCAGTTTGAAAAACTTGTTGCCTTGTCCGTGCAACAGCGGAACCTCACGCAGCTTCTCCTCATCGTTCATGGCCCAGGTTTCCCGCTTGTAGGAGCTCGGTGACTCCACCTGGTCGTCCCGGGTGGAAAACAAGACTCGTGTCATTTTCAGGACAGGAACCACGAGGTTAGAGGTTACTATCCATTCACAGAATATATAGTAAAGCGTAGAGACGGTGTATTTTGTGGGCGAAACGCGGCAGCCAATTACGCACAGCAATGTCCCACAAACAGTCGTGGATTGAGTGACCAGGTTATTTTTGAGGGATTGTCACTTCCAGATGGCTTTAAAGAAAGGGGTGTAAAATGAAGGTTAGGGGTGGGGGGGGGGGGGAGTTGTTAGACAGGACAAATAGGGGTGGTGGGGCTGTGTCGAGGAGGGTGGGAATTAAACCAATGTAGGGATTCGAGTGAGACAAAGCAAGATCAGCTAATTGACTGGAGAGTGTCCAAAGACTCCAACCGATAAAGGAGGAGGAGAAGCTTAACTGTTAGCAACTCGATGATGAAGATGAGAGGCTGTGGCTCCTTCTGCAGTTCGTCCAGATCATCGTAGCCCAGGCTGTTGTAGGCAAACATATTGGCCATCCCACAGGTGTGGATGTGCCAGTCAGTTGGGTCTTTGCCCTCCGCAATCCTCCTCAGGCTTTTTGCCACCATTGGATACAGGCCTGTGTGCTGTTGGGGGGTCGGGGTGGAAAGGAGGAAGAGACGATGGGGGGAAGAGAGAGAGAGAGAGAGAGAGAAAGAAAAAAAGAAAGAAAGAAAGAAAGAAAGAAAGAAAGAAAGAAAGAAAGAAAGAAAGAAAGAAAGAAAGAAAGAAAGAAAGAAAGAAAGAAAGAAAGAAAATGCTTCCATCAATTGAACAAAAAAAGAAAAACCTTGCAATTTTTTTTGCCCCCCACCCCCAAATCTATGCTTCCTGAAATTGCCTCCTTTTCCCCTTCTAAACCCATGTCTTCTTGTTCTACTGTCTCAGTGCATCTTGAAGTATTGTTGTATCTGTGGTTTCGTTTTGCAATCCCGTTTAAAACTGTTTTACGGTTAAATCCTTCCGAGACATCACCCCAGCAGTGGTGGTGGTTGTTGTTGTCTACCTTCTGAGTCATCTCCTCTTGAGACTGGAGATCCCCTTCCCCCCCCGTCCTGTCTATACTCATTAAGCGCTACGGGACGCTACCCTGCCTGGAGAGCACTATATGTTGTTGTTGTTGTTGTTGCGCCTCCACTTTAACCGACTATTCCTGCCTGAGGGTTGGAATTAAACAGAAAAGAGGATTGCGAAGTACCAGGGCACTCAGGCAAGCCAGCAGCACTCACGTAGAGATTAATGCAATCCCTGATTACTTATTTACTTACTTACATACTGACTCCCGTCCCCAAATTCCCTGTGTCATCAATTCCCAATGTGTCATGATTGTGGCATCGAAAACTAACACCCACCCACACACCCACACACACACACACACAGACACAGACCCAGCTCTAGCTTCCACTCACAATGATGTCGCACCAGAACTCAGCCACCTCCGCGATCCTCATGCTCGACAGCAGGATTTCCCAAACCTCCAGCTTGAACATGTTGCCCACAATTATTTCCATGGCTCTGCCCACCCGCTTGCTGTCATCGATAACCGTACGATCACCGTCGCACAAGAGGGTCCTGAAATGGAAAGTGACCTGGGGGGTGTGGGAGGGTGCAGGGGGTTGGGAGGACGGATTGGGGTGGGGGCGGGGGGGAGAAAGGATGCTCTTTATTTCATCGGCCTGGAAACAGGGAGAGAACGCGGGATCTTTTATGTCGGGAGGATGTCTCGAAGCTCTCGACACTACCGCCAGGGTGGGCACCTGAGCTGGTGGGGGGGGGGGTGTGGGGGGATATTTCTCCTTTACGGTATATTCTGCGTAGCCCTTTGAGACGTCTCGAAGACGTGATAAGGCGCTCTGTCAAATGCCAGGAATATTAGTATTTTAGCGTAAGATGACAAAGAGGTACATCTCGAAAAGGCTTGTTGCAGTCTTCGTTGGAATAACTCAACATTTCCGGGGAGAAATTCCACCCAGATTTAATTATGATCCTTGCATTTGACACAGCGCCTTTTACGCAGGGGTTGTGGTAGTGGTGGGGGGGGGGGCGGAGGGGGAGACACACACGCCGTGAAGCGCAGTGACTGTGTATTTTGCAGGTGAACGCATGAGGCCGAATTTGTGTTGAGGGTCTCGTTAGCAACTGCCAACAACAGATTGTTAACAAGTGCTCCAGGAGTGGGTAAAGATTGCCATATTTCACAACAGATTTGAAGCAAATACAAATTCTGGTATGAATTTTTTTATTGTCAAGCCAGGGTCTAACACGTGCAGAAACCCCTCATCACGCTTAAAGAGTGTCAAAACCAAACTGAGAATTCTCATTCCCCCCCCACCCACTCACCCAAGACTTTTACTGGCAAACCATGTCCCCAAATTTACACAACAAATATCACGACGCTGCTTGAACTCTTGACTCAACGTTGCCTTATAAATTCATTCACGCACTGACTTTAATATAAAAATAATCCTTGATGTAGCCACCTTGTCACGCCTTCGAGACGTCTCAAAGCGCTTCACAGAATATACCGTCAAGTGAACTGAATTGACTGTGGATTTGGTGGACTTCACTGCAACATAATTTCACTTACTTTCGATCCGGTATTAAATTTCGGAATCTCTCCCGTTCCTCCGTGCAATATTGACTTTTTAATGCCTTCAACGTTTAACAGGTATGTTTGCTCCATGATCGGTGTTCGGGAAGCACTGTGGAAAATATCGCGCTGTTTTAGATCAGTCTTTGCACCTCCAGGTGCGTGTGTGCGTGTGCTGGAATTATCCTCACTTTATAAACAGGATTAGGCCAGCAGAGAAGGCAAGGGACCAGGTGGTAAGGTCCTATAGTGATTAAGGGTTCTGTTATGTAAGGCTTGCTTTTAATCTGTTCTATCTCTTAATATCTTGTCGAATTTTCTGGCACCGACTTTAATTTTGGAATTTACTTTCAAGAGACAGAGCGAGAAGGGGGGGAGAGAGGGAGGGAGGCAGGGAGGGAGAGACAGACAGACAGACAGAGAGTGAGAGATACAGAGAGAAAGATGAAGAGAAAGAATTTTGCAAGTAACGCCAGTCAAATGCAGTGAAACTTTTAATTCGCAAAGACGGCAGTCTTTTTTGTGCACAACAAGTTCTCACAAACAGGCACAAGGTGAATGGCAAGTTAGTACCCCCACAACTCGCCCACACCCCACTTTCTGAACTCAAAACTGATCCCTGACACATTTGGGGCAGGGCGTGAGGGTAGGGGAAGAAATATTTCAAAACACATTCCTCAAACAAGGAGTGGAGTCTGTGTCAGACTACTGCAAATTTGTCCCTCTTTCCCCCCTCCCCTCTCTCTTCCCCTCTCACCCCTCTCTTCCCCACCTCTTTCCCACCCCCCCATCACCACCCCGCTCTGCTTTACTCTTAAAGCAAATAGAAGAGGAGGTTCCTCAGGTCAGCTCCGATCCTGGTCTCAGAAAGTCGCCACTCCAGATTGAAGAAATCCGCTTTCTCCAGAAACTCCTTGCCTCCGATGGATTCCGGTTTGATAGCCGAGTTTCTGGAGGCAAAGTAAATGTCACAAGAGGTCACTTCGGCCCATCTTATCTCATCCCTCCAGAACACCCACCCCCACCCAAACCGGTCTCCCATCACAGCGTTGAGCTGCTTTTTTTACATGAGTCCCAGCATCCCTGGCCTGAACCACCCTTCCTATTCCAGTCCTAGCTATTATCAGATATAAGGATTAATATTATTATTAATAATAATTACCTTCTGAGTAAAAAAATATTTCCATGCGTCTGTCCCGAAATTGCTCTTCGCAACTTTAGACCCATGTCCTACTGTCTTGGTGCATCCTAAAGTATTGATCTGGGTTTACTTTAATAAATGCTATTTAAAATAGTGTAATGACAAGAATAATAATAATAATATTCCTTGCATTTGATGTAGCGCCTTATCACGTCTTCGAGACGTCTCAAAGGGCTTGACAGGATAACTGTAAAGTGTAGTGATTGTATATATTGTGGGCAAACGGACAGCAACCAATTTGGGCAGTATGCACTTCTATGAGGTCCGCTTTGAGTTATCTTCTCTCAAGACTGAAGAGCCCGAGCTTGTCTTAATTGTTGCTCACTGCAGTATCAGCTTGGATTATGACCCAATGTGGGGCTTGATCCCACAACCTCCTGACCCAGAGGTAAGCCTGCTACCAACTGAGCCAGGCTGACTCAATGAGAACATGGGAGAGAGAGAGAGAAGCAGTGATACAATGCAGGACTTACCTCGGCTCCTTCTCCAAGATCCTGGACGTCAAGGAACCAACAGCCACAAATAAGTTCAGATCCACTTGCAACTTGTCATCCGCTTTCAGCAAGTGCCACAGCCTGTTGGTGTGGTCTTTGTGCAGAGTGTAAACAGACAGCAGAGCCTGCTCCAGTTCCTGTGTATGGTGTGTATGTGTGTGTGTGTGTAACACAAAAACAATTGGCTAAATTGCCTCGTGCATCCAAACAAGCCCGTGTAGACGAACTGAGAAAACTTCCCTAGATCGGCAACTGTCCAATAACTTGCAGTGTTCTGTGTTTCTTGATGGACACTCAGCATTAGGGCCATTCACTCTGCCTCAGTGCGCTTTGGGACTCTACCCGGCGTGAGGGGCGCTGGGTAAATGCAAAATGCAATCCCAGTCTGAGACGTCCTAGGTCCGAACTTTCGCCTAGTGTTAGCCTTAACACCATTTTACCTTAAAATGAAAGACCTGTTCAGGATTACGGTAAACTCTGAAACTGAGTGAGAAGGGAACGGAACTGATAGCCAGAAATGATGGATGATTGGGGCCAGGATGCTGTGGTGGGGAGGAGGAGAAATGGGATGGTAGGGGGCTATGGATTATGGAAGGATGAGATCAGATGGGCCAAAGGGCCTTCTTCGCCCAAACTAATGTAGCGAGCTAATCTTGTGAAAAGAAACGGTATTGGAGAGGGAATTGGGAGATGACATGTGCATGAGACTGTCAGGATGGCGAATTGGAGGGACCTTGGTCTTCTTTCACCAAGCAATTCTTATGAGAATGAGGTGGAGACTAATGTGGAGTATAAACACCGGCACAGACTTGTTGAGTTGACTGGCCTGTTTCCATGCTGTAAAGTTTGACGTAACTCAATGTAACCAACAGCTACAGGTGAACAGAGATCAACACCACACAGATATTGGTGAAATTTCAGTCTTCAGATAGACATTCTGACAGGTAAGCATGTTCCCCTTCTTCCCCAACCCCCCACCCCCCTCTAACCGCCCCACTCCACCTACCTTCACGTTAATGAGCCCATCTTTGTCCTTGTCATGCTGCGTAAATGCAGCCTTAAACAAGTTGCATAAATCCTGGTCACACCTGCAGTGACTCCTTAAATATTCAGAGGGTGACATGCCTGCGGACATAAACAGGCGAAGGGAATGATTACAAGCTTTGCTTGAGTGACCGACGGCATCGTGCAGCAGAATAATAATAATAATTTTTGCATTTGATATCACGCCTTATCACGTCGTTGCTTCACGAAATATACTGTAAACGAATCGATTGTATATATTTGTGGGTGAAACGCAGCAGCCAATTGCACACTGCAGCGTCCCACAAACACTCGTGGATTGAGTGAACAAAATATTATTTTTAAAATATTTTTGTAGGGACTCCTACCCCCGGAAAGCGATCCGCCAATCGACTAACAACCGGGTTCCTACTTACTGCTAAGTAAAGAGGCGTGTGGAGTAAGGAAACTTGCCTAAGGTTTCGCTCCACGAGGGAATCGAACCCAGGTCCTCTCGCCTGTGAGGCAAGAGCTCTAAACCATACATTAAAGACTGGGGTAGGGGTTACCAGGAAGAGTGGGTTGAAGGCAGGACAATGAGACTCATTTAAAAANCAGCTCGATGGTGTGATGGGCAGTAGGGCTACCTTCATCCGGACTGATCTCCTGATCTTTTGAACCCACCTTCAAGCAGCTGAAGATCCATCGGGAGGTCAAACCGAACGCCAAGTTTGGAGAAGCTCACTGCGGGAACTGTGCTGGGGTTCCCTTGCTCTTTAGCCTGCGGTAACGGAGCCGATACATAACTATCACAACAGCAAACCTTGCGTTGCTCCAGCATCCACTGCCTTTTTGAGGGAATTCTCTCCCTCCCCCAAAAGGCTGTGGATTCCCGGATCAATTGAAATTTTCAAGACCGAGATGGACAGATATTTGTTAGTTAAGGAAATCGAGGGATATGGAGCAAAGGCTGGTATTTGGAGTTGAGGGACAAATCAGCCCTGATCTAATAGAATGGCGGAACGGGCTCGAGGGGCTGAATGGCCTCCTCCTGTTCCTATATTCCCATTTCTTATAGCGTCCCATTGTCTCAAACGGCTCTGCAGATAATTAATTGATCGCCAGGCGAGGTTGCCTAATTGCAAGCGAATGCTCAATTTATCTGGGGAGTGGAGGGATGGTGGGAGTGTACGTGTTTGGGGGTGTAGGGGGTGAGGGACAGAGAAGGAGGGAAGGTTTCAGAGTCCCCCCCCCCCGCCGCCCCCCCCAACCCCACAAAAAGCTGCTCTAAGAAGACGAAGCTTCTCTAATTCCTGAAAAGCTGTCACTTTGCGAGATGGCAGGAGAGAGAGAGCTGGGCCATTACTATGGCAACGGGTTAGATCGCTGGTTAGAGTCGGTTGCCCAACAGTAATTGGGATTGAAGGCCAATAGGACCCGAGGCCCGGGGACAATCCATGTGAAATCTCTCTGAAGAGTTTCATTCCACCCTGAGAAATCTCAACCGCGTCCGGAATCACCCGCTTCAGTGCGCCCGAAAGAGGAGCTTCTCTCCTGGTATCCTGACCAACAAATCTACAAACCGCCACCCCCCTCCCCTCCCCCTCACCCCCTCTCCCCGCCTTTGCCCCCTCCTCCCCCCAGATAAATCGCGCATCGAACTCTCGTGGCTGTTCGTGGGGGTCTTTGCATTCGCCGACAAAATACACAGTCACTAATCCTGCCAGGCATTTTGAGACGTGCAGCCCGGAGGTGAAAAGCGCTGTGTCAAACGAACGCAACGATTATTGCTGCTAATGATTATTATTATTACTAATATTATGACTGCCAACCCATTACCTCCACAGTGTTGTCATGAGCCATTGCGTATTTGCAGCGCTCCCTGTCACACAATCGAGCCCTGGTCTTCACTGTTCCGCTTTGTGACTCTTCCGTGACTAGTTTCCTTTCCTTCTGCAGCGCAGCCTACTTGAGGCTCGCAAAACAAGACACCTCTGATCAGTGTTAGGTGTTATTCCTGTCCCATAGTGTCGGAGCGGACTTCCCGCATTTACAAGGTGACGCGTGCACATGGCAACAGGGAAAAGCTGACGCGCTTACTTAAGAAATCCGGCTGAAAAAAGCGGGGTCAATGTTTGCGCGATTATTTTAGACAATTATTTAACATTATTTAACAACCCAAGCTCCTCACGCGTGTGACTCTGGCTGGAGGGAAACCCGTTCCAAACATAGACCGAGTCAGAGTGACGTTCCCAGAGTGACGCGGCATTGCAGACGTGACAAAGACGTCCATTAAGAAATATTCCCCCTTTCCCCACCCCCCCCATTGCGTTTTAGACCCAGTTGTCCCAGATTCAAAAGCCCTTCACCTTTTTCAGGCGACTGTTCAGCTTGTGGATCCTTTCGGCTGCAGACCTGCTAACGGATCAAAGAACAGGAACGTCAGTCAACTGGTCTCAATCAAGTTCACTTCCAGCCAAATTCCCATTCCACATCACACTCACTTGCACCAACTCCAAAGTGTTGAGGACATGTGTGTTTTTTTGCATTGGATTCAGTCCAGTTGAACTTAATTCAGAACCGCTACAATGAGATCCTAATGTTCACATTAACAGCAGAGCTTTGCACCAGGCGCTGGCGTGATCGGGTTCCTTCTGTTACCCAGAGAGCTTGCTATTGTGGTCAACTAAGCTCCTAGGAGACCAGCTGCAAGAGGGAGAGCAATTGGAACCAAGTCAAGTATCCATGGTGCAGGGTTGATGTTTAACCAGCTAATGGATGTGTCCGTCAGCCCTTGTCCGGGAACTTGACTCCAACCTGATTTGGCGCAGAACATGGACCTTAGACTCTGACTGGTATTTACATATCAATCCACAATCCATTCAATTGTTGATTCACAAAAGCACCCGGTTTATACTGGACAAACAGGCGGAGGGGAACCAAAGGAGTTGAAATGCGATCGAGAATGTAAGCCAGGTACTTTCAAGACAGTGAAACAGAGTTTAGAGTTGTAAAGGGACACTTCAGGACAGACACCTCTTGGAGCGCTTAACAGTGGCGGAGCCTGATGCTGAGCCCGGGGGAGGGAGGAAGTGACCATAAGACCGTACGATTGAAGAGAAAGGTTTTTGGGAGTGATCTAAAAGAGGGGGAAGGGTGGGGGTAAGGCAGTGGGATTCGGGGAGAGAGGTGTGGTTCATTTAACTTTCGACCTTCAGATTGTATTTAGTTTTCACCATTTTACCTTGTCGTTGGCTGAAACATTTGAGGGTTCTTTTCCTTGTTGAGAAGCGTTGGGATCTGGGACCTAGCGTGCGGTAACATATAAGGAAGCGAGCCTTGGATCTGTGGCTGCGTGATTGCGGTGAGGTAGGTAACCAGGGGAATTAACACCAGTCTCTGAAACAGCGGTAACAAGAATCCGGTCATATAACGAACTGCCTGCATTTCTCCCTTCTCAAGCAAGGGTTAACTTCACAAATCCAATCTTCGCCTCGAGTCATTATGTACCTGAGATTTAACCACAGGTTATTTGATTACATCTTCCTTTAACACTGAGCGACCGCTTTGCAATGCTTTGCTGCAAGCAAGTTCCTTCGATTTAGGAGCTGAATGTAGAATTATAACGGGAAATCACTAGCACGTGGCTGATCGCCAGCGAGTCTGCCATCGAAAACGATGGCGCTCACACACACAGATAAAACACTTGCACTGAATATAAATGAAATACTTTCTAAATACATTTATCGTTATTCTTTCACATGTTTCAGTTGTTGGTCAGTGCACTGTGTGTGTGTGTGTGTGTAAAAATAACATTGGTGGGGGGCTAGCAGGATGGGTGGAAGTCACGCAGAAAGCCTGGTGTTCTCTGCTAGGATGATGAAATAAATGCCTTTCCGATTACAGCCCAGCAGAGAAATAGCTGCGTACAGCTCCAGAGATAACAACCAGTGGTTTGATCAAGCAACGCCCTTTGGAGCAATGTGCAAGCTTGCACATAGTAGGATGTGGAGGAAATCACCAGAGGGAGCTGATATAATAATAATAATAATAATAATAATAATAATCTTTGCATTTGATATAGCGCTTTTCACGTCTTCGAGACGTCCCAAAGCGCTTCACAGAATATACTGCAAAATGAATTGACTGTATATTTGTGGGCGAACGCGGCAGCCAATTGCGCGCAGCAGCGTTCCCCACGAACAGTCGTGCACTGAAAACGACCAATTTATTATTGTGTTTCGTTTCTTTGGAGGGATTATTATTAGGCGGTGTGTGGAGTAAGGAAACCTGCCCGAGGTTTCGCCCTCTCGCTTGCGAAGCGAGCGCTCTAACCGCTGAGCCACGGGACTCACACCCATTGATACAGGTTCCTTCGGGGGTGGGGGAGGTGGAAGGGTGGGGGGGGGTTGGGGTGGGGTTTGGGGCCAGAAAATAAAGTCTCAATATTTATTTCATGGCCTCTGATTCCCCCCCACAAACAGAAATAAAAGCAGCCACTGATGGGGAGCCATCAGCCATCCCCCAGATCCCTGGTCCATGTCAATGGGGGGAATTGGGGACACATTGGGTGATGTCATCAGTAGCCAATCCAGGCTCTCGGCCAATCAGACGGCGCCGATTCAGCCGCTGCAAAGTTGCGCCAAATTCAAACACAATAGAGAGGAGGAGAGGAAGGACAGAGAGAGGGAGAGATGCACTCACTGTGATAGAGAGAGAGAGAGAGAGAGAGAGAGAAAGGAGGAGAGGTGTATATAGGTATATATATATAGAGAGAGAGAGAAAGGGAGAGAGAGAGAAAAGAGGAGAGATATATATAGAGAGAGAGAGGGGGAGAGAGAGAGAAAAGAGGAGATATCTATATATATAGAGAGAGGAGAGGTATATATATAGAGAGAGAGAGAAAGAGATAGCTGAAGAGATAGGTAGAGAGAGAAAGGAGAGAGAATAAGAGAGAAGAGGGAGAGAGAAAGAAGAACGAGACAGAGAAGAAAGAAAGAAAGAAAGAAAGAGAGGAGATAGGAAGGAGAGAGATAGAGAGAGAAAAAAAGGAGAGAAAGGAAAGAGAAGGAGATAGAGAAAAAGGAGAGAGGGAGAAGATAGAAAGAGTGGGGCGGGGGGGGGGAAGAGAGAGAGAGAGAAAGCTGGTGAGGATCCTAACGATGGAGAGTGTGTTGCAGAGACTGGCCGAGGCCGGGGGGAGCGGCTGGAGAAAGCCGCACCGAGCCCTGGAGGAGGAGGGGGGGGAGAGCCCGGGATGGGGAGACGCCGGCAGCAAACTCAGGGAGTTGCCTTCCTGCGGGTCACTCCACGCCGCCCGCATGTCCCTGAGGAAGCGGCTGCCCCTCAAGCAGGTGCTGTGCAACACCGACCAGACCCCGAGCTGGGAACGCCTGGAGATGGTGGGGAAGAAATCCAGCACCATGCAAACCCTGAGCCGGACAGCGAGGAACACCCTGGGTAACATGTCCCTGGTAAGGCGCGCGTGTGTGTGTGTGTGCGTGGGTGGGGGGGGGGGGGTCTTGATACATTCACTCCTCCCCCCCCCCCAAAAAAAAACACGTTATTTTTTAATATAAGAAAAATGCTGCAAAAATGCCCACAAATATACAGTCAATTCACTTTACAGTGTGTTCTGTGAAGCGCTTTGGGACATCCTCCCAACGTGAAAAGCGCTATATCAAATGCGAGTATTATTATTATTATTATTATTTTAGTCTGCATGCATGAATTAGGTTGAATTCGATTGATTATACGATGTATGAAAGGTGAGACGCGTGCGAGTGTCACCGTAATTAATAATAATAAAAATAATAATCCTTGCATTATCTGAAATGCAACAGAAATAACTTGCCCCCCCCCCCCCCAATATGATGCACATTAATCCTCTCTCTCTCTCTCTCCCCCCTCCCCACCCTCCCTCCCTCCTTCTCTGGCCTCATTTCAAAGGGTGTAAGTTTGACCCTGTTTGAAAGATGTTAATCCCATATGTTCACCCCCAAAAAAACATCCAGAGAAGCTCCTTTTTATACACGACCTGCATTTTACAAAGCACCTTTCGCGCATGGTAGCGTCTTGGAGCGCTTAAACCCGAGATTCCGACTCGCTCCGGGGCTGCTTGCGCGGCCCCTGCAGCGCCGCCACGTTTCGCCCACAAAACACGCGGTCACTCTACTGTACGGTAAACCCTGTGAAGCGCTTTGAGACGGGACCAGGCGCTAAAGGCAAGGATTGTTGTTATTGTTACAGAGTGTGCGGTGATTTGATGTGGGAGGAGGGGGCTGGGGTGGGGTGGGGTGGGGGTAGAGACATATGTAACGGAGCCTCATTTTATCTGCGGCGTGGGGGTGGGGGTAGTCTATTGCAGGGTTTATCACACATTGTAACCGTGCGCATTGCCCATCTTTCCTTCGGCAGAGGCTGCAGAAAGGACGGCAGAGGCGAGCTGACTACCTGGTGTCCACGCCTCCGAAGCCCTCGCCCCACCGGGGGCGCGGCAACGCGAGGAAAAGCACCCCGCCTCGGACCCCCGGGGCCCGCACTCCGGCCTCCGGCGCCAAGCGGACCCCGGCGGGGTTGGGCAAAGCCGAGCGGAGGGATGGGGCTCGCCTGGGGAGCAGGGGGGGGCTTCCCCTCAGGAGGTCCGTGCGAGCGGCCGCGCTCAGAAGTCCCTTCGCCTCGCCCATGGCGGCCGGCAGGAGGAGGTACGCCATCGACCTGGGGGGGTGCGGGGGGTTGGTGTGTTTGTCGACACTGTTGGCGGGGTGAGGGGGGGGGGCGTGTTGTGGGGCGAGGAGGGAGGTGGGGATAAAAGGGGAGAGAGGGAGAGAGCTGCTTTGTTCAGGTGGGCATTAAAGATGCTCTCTGTGTTTGATGGCAGATATTGCCAGAGTCGTGTACGGTAGTGGTTAACTTACTCGTCTCGCAAGCCAGAGGACCCGGGTTCGATTCCCGCGTGGGGCTAAAACCTCAGGCAAATTTCCTTACTCCACACGCCTCTGTTTACCCAGCAGTAAGTAGGAACCCATTATTTATTCGATCCACGACCGTTTGCGAGACGCTGCTGTGCACAGTCAGCTGCCGCGTTTCGCCCCACAAGATACGCAGTCACTCCACTTTGCGGCATATCCTGTGAAGCTCTTTGAGACGTCTCAACGACCTGATAAGGCGCTGTGTCAAATGCAAGGATTATTATTATTAGGATTATTAAAGCATTTCCGTGACAATAATCCTGGGTGACTGGTGCCATTTAAGCTGCGGTGGTTCTCATCGCCCGTAACCTTGTGTGCTCGCAGACAGTTTGAGCGAGATCTCGACAGCGTCGCTCACGGTATTGGCCAGCTGAAACGTCTGTCCCAAGTTTTTGACGAAGCAATCGCCAAGGAGGAGAGGTACGTGCATCTCCGACCTGACTGTGCCCCTCGGCTATTCCCCCGACGACGATGGTGATAGTCGGTTGGGTTTTATTTAAGCACCTTTTGTTCCAAAGCACTTTACAGGACGTCGCGCAGACAGGGTAAGGTTAGGAAAACCAGGACGTTCAACTTTACGTACGGAAAAAAAAGTAAATTCATAGCCCGTCAAACGACATCTGAAAGAGGGAAGAAGGTTACATTTCAAGTTCAACCTGTTCCCCGCCTTCTCTTTCAGGTATATAGTGGGATTGTGTGTGTGTGTGTGGCTCACTTTCCCTCTCTCTTGTGGTCAGTCTCGCTCTCTGCCTCTTTTCTCGTCTCTCACTCTCCTTATCCACCTCTTCTCTCTTCACTCGGTTTTCTCTACTTCTTGTGCATGTGTGTGTGTGTGTCTGTCTGTCTCTGACTTTCCTATTGGTTTTTTTTCTGTCCTGGTCTTTACAATTCGAGCCTGTGTCCTCCAGTTTGCAAGTGTTCCTCTGTGGAGCAAGACGTACATTTTTCTCAGTCTTCAAAATCCCTCTTGGAATGGCTTCCGCCCCCGCCCCAGAGCTTGGCCAAGCCTAGCAAAGGGAAATGAGATTTCCTGTTCTTTTGCCGAGCTGCAATGATTCAGTGACTGAACAGAGAGATACAGAGAGATTTCTGTGGCTGACACAAGTTTCTCTTTAGTTTCAAATGCGGACGTCAAGAATTCAAAAGGTCCACAAATAGCTTATACGTTGTAGAGGTCTCTTTCTTTTTAACCGCTTCATTTTGGTACTAGAAAAGACGGGGTGTTTTTTAAGGACTTGTGGATACTGAATGCAACTTTTATCCCGCATTCAGAAGCACTAAACACAGATTTCTACAGATGGAGCAATGCTCCATGTGTTTGTTTCAAACCTTAGAATGATTAAAATGAAATGAATGCCGCAATCTAATAAGTAATAATCATACAATGTCTTTAATTATCAAATTATACTTTGGAAAATTTGCCTAAAATTCTGTAAAAACTGCCTAACCAGTGACTGCCTGGTGACTGCCGACAAAATTGTCATTAACTTGATTATTTTTGTTAGGGAAGGGGAATATAGTGGTGGGGAAGTCTGTAATTTTGAAATTACTGCTGGGGAATTCCTAGCAGTTTAAGATCGCTGGATGACTTAATAGAGCGGGAAGAGACAAAGTCTCTTTTCCAACTTAGTTCTGATGTTTTATAAGAACCATCTACTCCTCCCACTTCCCCATTCTCACCCACCCGTGGTGGGTGACCTCCTGATCTAATGTACACTGAGTATAAATATGCCGAGGTCTGGTCTGGCTTCGGTTTCATTCGGTCTCCCCAACTCCACCATCCACATAATCAAACAGCTCTAAAACTCCACTGTAAACAGAGGCTTGTGGAGTAAGGAAACTTGTCTAAGGTTTCGCCCCTCCCGAGAATCAAACCCGGGTCCTCTCGCTCGCGAGGCGAGCGCGCTAACCAGTACACTACGGGACTCCACGCCTGTTTATCCACGCCCGTTTGCAGGGAGCGGTTCTAAGGAAACCTGTTTGAGGCCCCTCATGCTTCTGTGGACCCTGGAATCCAGAACACAGGGTGTGTGTGTGTGTGTTTTCCAGCAATGCATTCCTTAAATGCTTGACTCCACATACCCTCGGATAAGCAGAAACAGAATCTTAACTGCTCAGCTCTCACCCTTTTGAAGAAGAGGCTAGAGAAATATTCCAATCCAACTACAACTATTCGAAAAGAGAAGAGAGTTCCTCTCTCTCAGCATCGGGCCCATCATCCCCAAATACAATTGGTCACTCATTCCATAACAGTTTGTGGGACATCGCTGTGTGCTGTTGTGCTGCCTTGTTGCACCCACAAGCACACCACGGTGACTACGCTTTACAATCTATCCCGGGAAGCGCTTTTAGAGACATCTCAACGACGTGATAAGGCGCTGTGTCAAATGCGAGGATGGCTATTGTTAGCCCGACCCGCGTTTTAGGGCTCGCTGAGTGCGAATGTTCTGCGATTCCCGCACTGGGACGTGAACGGCACTGAGAAGTGACGAGCTGCTAACTCTTCTGTGTTCATTTCTGTTTGTCGTCAGTGACATGGCTCTCTGTCTCATTGACTTCTGAAGGAGCCAGGGAAACGAGGTAACGCTTGGTGTTCGTGAGTGTACGGCGCTTACAAAGGGAGACCAAATCACCGTGTGTGGTCCTGACCTGACACAAGATTGGGTTCAGGGAGGGAGGGGAACCTTTAAACGAACCCCTGAATCCACGTTGGGGGGGGGGTCACTGAACTGCAGCCGTTACGATACGTAACCAACAACCATGGATTCTAAACGTCTTCCAATTATTTGGCACATGCCCTTGTGTTTGTGCCTCCACTGCTGTAGGTCTGACCATCAGTGATTCAGTTTCCCTTCTCGGTGACCATCAGTGATTCAGTTTCCCTTCTCGGTGATGCACTCGGTATCTAACAACTGTTTAACATGTACAGTCGGGTAGGAAAACCACCGGAAAATCGGACCTTGGCTTTCCGATTAACAGCTGCGAGCGATTATTTCCCTGGTCACTAATACACTGTACTGCTGTGTTTGTTGGGCTGAGCCGCTGTGATTCCTACGCTATTCTGCTCCCACTAGTAGCCGTTGCTTCAGACAAGTGTCATTGCAGTTGATAGCATGTGCACATCCTTTATATTGTTTTTATTTCTTCTTCGACTGGGTGACACTCTGGCTGCTGTATTAACACACTTGAATTTCACCTCTCTTTCCCCCACCCCACCCCCTCCCAGAAGATCGCTCGATGGCGCAGTGTAACTTGCATCCTGAACCTGGCAGCATGTGTGTGTGTGTGGGTAACACGTACCCGTTTCCACTTTCTCCCCCCCCCCCATGACCCCAACCTTTCTCCCTCACCACCGCCAACCTTCTCCCCCCTACTCCCAACCTTTCCCCCCCCAGCCCCACCTCCCCGACCTTTCCCCCCCACCACCCCAACCTTTCCCCCCCTACCCCCAACCTTTCCCCCCCCAGTCCCACACTCCCCAACCTTTCCCATCCCCACCACCACGCCCGCGTGATGTGACTTGCGTCCGCTTCGCTCTCCCGCAGGGGACGTGCCATTGAGAACTACCGTCGTCTCGTGTGTGACAACGTGCTGACATGTCGGGGTCGGAAGTGGTCGTCTCGGAGGAGGACTGAGATTCCTTCGACGCTGCTGGTGTGAGCAGATGGTCGGGCAAACACCGCAGCGTGTGAGGGGGGGGTCTTAGTTCCCAGGCCTTGGGGACGGGCTTCTGTTCCGCACAGAATACTGCAACGTGTGTGTGTGTGGTGTCCCATCTGTATGTAGCCCAGTGACTTGGGATGTTCTCCTGATGTTAATGGCGCTATCCAAAGTAACTTGCTGTTGTTATTGTTCTGTGTGTGTGTGTGTGTGGCTGTAAATCGGGGTGCGCTGCTTGCACCGTGTACAAAAGCTGCCGTTCTATGTATATTCCCATCGAAACAAGGCAGCAAATCTCTCGCTCTCTCTCTTTCTCAGTTCCTGTACTGTTGTGTAGGAGAATCCCTGTGACTCTCACATTTTCACTGAGGGTTAGGGGCACATCTCGATGCATTTTGTTTTGCGGGTGGGTCATGTTGTAGTGTGACAGTTGTGATGTTAGGTTATCACCTGTGAGACACTGAACCATTGATCTGATCTCTGCCACTGGTGATAATTAACGCAGCCCGTCACTGTTTCCACCCTCTGTTAGGGGACCTAATTCTAAATTTAAGGCAAGTGCGTGATTTATAGTGCGTGCACTGAAGCCCACATAAGTCTGATCTTTACCAATCATATAATCATCTAATAATAATAAGTTTTACAGTTGCTAAATGTATGACCAATTTCCGAGCTGGAGTCTCTGAAGGAAAAAAAAATCTCAAAGTTCCATCAAGGGAAACCGCTTACTTTGCCTGCTTCCCATCATGTTATTGAACAAATTATATTATTGACCCCCCTCTATAGATGTTTTTATACGTTGGCCGTTAACTTTCAAATGGTCCCAGTGTGTCTGCTCGTCTACAAGATCCGACATTGACACAGAGCTCTCATTAATGGCTCCACGTCGCATTTTTATATATACATATATCTATATATTTGTGTAGTTTACAGTTGAAGTTTTTTTTAAATCTACTTTTGTTTTCCCCTTAAATGTATCTCTTCTTTACGTAGGTTTGCACGGTCTTGTGCGTAACTTTTCCGTGTAGTTTTTTTTTTAAAAACAGTGTTATACGCGTTTGATCGATTGTGCGGATCGCTTTTCCGGGAGTCATAATCCCTTCAAGAAATATATATAATAATAATTTGGTCACTCAATCCACGACTGTTTATGGGACGTCGCTGTGCGCAATCAGCTACCACGTTTCGCCCACAAAATACAGTCAATTCACTTTACAGTATATTCTGTGAAGCGCTTTAAGACGTCTCGAAGACGTGATAAGGCGCTGGATCAAATGCAAGGATTATTATTAAAGTTTTGTACAAAAACCAACCACCATATTTTTTATTATTAACAATAATAATTATAGTAAATAACTGTTCCAAATAAAATGTTACAAATAAAGTCGTTCTCTTAGAAATGACAACAGTGCTTTATCATACACAACTCTTCACAGTCAGTACACCCAGAACTGTGCACGTACAAAAGTCAAGAGACGTAGATAGGGTTTACTCACTCACAGTACAGCGTCTTTCATCCTCACCACAAAGGAGCAGAAACCAACGTACAGACTGCAATATTTAAAAGACTTTGATCATTTCCCCCCACCCCGCACCCCACGCCCGAGTGCTCACTCACCGTTACACACGCTACAAAAATGGGTTCGTTAGGTGCTCGACACGGAAAGAGACGAGAGATACTTTGGTCAAAGCGAGACGGGGGGGGGGGGGGCAGGGGACAATTGCGGGCGTCCCGACGCGAGGCGAGGGTGCGTTCCAACACAACATCAGAGAGAAAAACGACGCCGATCCATTTAAGTCATCACGTAAAGTGCATTCACCGAACAGTTCACGAAAAAATGCTCGGAGTTTGGGGGCAGGGGCTGGCGAGGGGGTTGGGGGTGGGGGGGTGTGGAGAGAGGGCAAGCTGGTGGCTATATTTGACCTCCCGGTATGTACAGAGCGTGTCACGGTCGAGGAATCCAACCCGTTTCATTGCTGGGAGTCCGCTCGGCTTCACAACCTCAGGGAGGAGGGCGATGGGTTATAGTTTGTAGCTACGGCATAAGTTAGGCTTCCGTTCGCTCATTGACGGAATGAACAGGAGGAGACTCGGATGGACTGAAGATTGGGGGCCACTGGGGAGCGTGCCCGCCGGCCATTTCCAGGCATCCGAAAAGCAAGCTTTTAACCCACGTCGGAAAAGTCCTTTCCACGTTTCGTTTGGTCTCGCCTGAACACACGGGCTCTTCTGATCAATTATTAATATTAATAATTAATAAGATTCGATTCCCCGGGCAGGGGCGAAACCTTAGGCGAGTTTCCTTACTCCGCACGCCTGTTAAGCGAGCAGTGAGTAGGAACCCGGTTGTTAGTCGATGGGCGGATCACTTTCCGGGGGTAATAATCCCTTCAAAAAATAATAATTTGGTCGCTCAATCCACGACTGTTTGTGGGGACGCTGCTGTGTGCAATTGGCTGCCGCGTTTCGCCCACAAAATACGTAGTAGGTCCACTTTACAGTGCGTATCCTGTGATGCGCTTTGAGACGTCTCGACGAGGCGATGAGGTGCTAGATCAAAGCGCAAGGATTATTATCATCAAGCCTGCGATAACTGGCATCACCCCGTCAGCGAAGAGCTCGCCTGAGCTGCTCTCTTTCCTCGAACTTCTTTTCCGTCGCTTTGCTGGTTGTTCGCTCTTTGCTCGCTGTCTCTCCAGTCGGAAGATAATGAGAGTTGCACCGTTTTCACCCTCTTCGCTGCACAGCGGCAGCGACCAGAGCACGACTGGAATGTAGGGTTAAAGCTAGGAAACCCGTTGTTACGGTCCGATCGATACGCAACAACGGAGATTTGGCCAAACTATGAAAGTGGTCTTTTCATTTCCCCTCTCATTCCTTTCTTTTTGGAAGAGGTGTGTGTGTGTGTGTGGGGGGGGGGAGGAGAGAGGTGGTGAAGTTCCTTTGTGTTCGTTGGTTTGGTTGTTTGTGTTGTTATTTACACAGCACTGCTGTGTCTTCACGTAAACAAGGATTCCATCCACCTTCCCGATCTTCCCGAGTCCAGGTTTGGGAAGGTTGCAAAGAGGCGGTGGGGGGAGTGGGGGAAGGAAGGCGGGGGAGATGATGGATGGACGAAGCTGGAGTGAGGCAGAAGGAGACCAGCACCGTGCTTGAACTACTTTGCTTCGCCCCCCGCCGCGCACACACACACACACCCCTCTCAGATCCCCTGCCCCCCCTCTCTCTACCCATCCCCTCCCACCCTCTCGTGCCTTCACACGGAGGGCTCTGACTTGGAGCCTCCGCTGCGGGCCCAGGCGATGCTGTGCGGGTGCCTCTCGTCCTTGCCTGTCTCGGGCTGGCTCTGGGCTCGCTCGGGCTTGTGGTTGCAGGAGGGAGGGTCGGGCTGCTGCACCGACATGGTCCTGCGCAGGTGGTTCCTCTTCCTCAGGAAGTCGGGCTGGGCCGAGAGCCCGAAGCTGCCCTTCCTCAGGATCATCCGCGAGTTGCTCTTCTTGGCCCGCGAGCGGTGCCCGAACTCCAGCTGGGCCAAGTGAGCCGCGTAGCCCTCCGAGAGGAACTGCGGGGTGGGGGGGGGGGAGTGTCAAGGGTCAAACCGTCAACTCGCCATCGACAGCGCAACGCAGGACCAGCACGAACTCCCCCGAGTCGCGTCCGTCGGGGCCGGAGCGCCTAACGCGAGTTTACTCACGCCAAGTCCGGGTTTGGCCGGCGGACTCGTGCAAGCCGGCTCGCAGCATCCGGTTTAATCGCTTAATCTGCGCCGCGCTTGCGTTAATTCACCGCAGCCGGTCAAGCGAGGGAGTAACGGAGGAGGAAAAGGGGAGGGGAGCAGCGCTCCCGAGTTAGGAGACGATTAACACGACCGGTGCAAAGACATCCGAGTGTTTTCGATAAGAAACCCCGAATGGAACGAACTTGAGCGGAGGGGAGGAGGGGAACTGGTTTTTTGAAAGAGAATTAGAGGAATATTTGAAAGAGTAAAATAATATAAATGTGTGTGTGTGTGTGTGTGAGGGGGTTGGAGGGTGGGAAGGGAAGCTACTCAGTTAGATCCAGTGGTATGGAAGGTCATTCGTCGTCCCCGCTCAGTCCAGTGCCTGTCAGTGACCAGAATGGACCTGTGTCCATGGTGGAATCTCACACGTAAATAAAGAAAAGCGTTTCTGCTTTCTGAGTAAATAAGAGCCCTCGCCTCGCAAGCGAGAGGACCTGGGTTCGATTCCCGGGTAGGGCCAAACCTTAGGCGGGTATTCTTACTCCACACACACACACACACATCTTGCAGTAAGTAGGGACACGGTTGTTAGTCGATTGGCGGATCGCTTTCCAGGGGTAAGAATCCCTTAAAAAAAATACTGATCATAATTTGGTCACTCAATCCACCACTGTTTGTGGGACACTTACTGCTGTGGACATCGCCCACAAAATATACAGTCAATTCACTTTACAGTATATCCTGAGAAGCACTTCTTTAACTATGTGATAAGGCGCTATATCAAATGCAAGGAATGTTATTTATTACATATATCATTGACCCAGTCTGGTATTTCCTTCCTGGCTACGTCAAGTCTCAATTCATTCAGGGTTTAAAGCAGAGAGGATCTAAGACAAGTTATTTTTTATATATCCCTCTCCATCTGCTTTCAGCTTTCCCGGAAAAAAAGGAAATTATTTCCTGAGGCAATGTTTTTTTTTAGGGTAATTAATAAAAGCTTCTTTCACTCATAATGCTGACTATTATTGTTCTTGGGACGTCTTCAAAACCGTTGCCGTTGTCGTCCCATTCAGGTTGGGATTTTTTTTTTACGCGCACACGTACACACACACACAGAATAAACGCAAATGAAGAGCCTTTAACCTGGCGTAAATCAGAGAAAGTGACAGAAGAGAAAATTAACGCAGAAAAAGAAATCGCAACCCTTGCATTCGATAGGAAGCCTCGCGCTTGCCAGGAGGACGTCTCAAAAGCGCTTCTCAGGATTCGTCGTGAAGCGGAGTGACCGTGTGTTGGGTCGCGCAGCCCGATTGGCACCGCAAACGGTCCCGCGAATTTCTTTTTCTCTCTGGGATTCTCGGCCTGGACCTCAAGACGGATCAATGTTATTTAATCAATAGTAATCCTTGCGTTGCATTCGCGCTGTGCTCTGCACCAGCTTGTTATACAGTGTCCTCTGGTGGCTACCAGTCGGAATTGAACACAAAGTGCGCGCGTGTGTGTGTGTGTATATGTGTGTGCGTGAGCGTGTTTTACGTGTATTTGCCGTGGTTACCTTGCACTGGTTCTGATACTTCTTGGACGGACGTCCCACGATGTAGATCTGAGACGAGGTCATGCCCAGGACGTTGTAGACGGAGATGTCTTTCATCGAGCCGTAAGCGGCACAGATCTTGATGTGGGACTGTAACAGAGGATAGCGTACGGTGAAACCTCACGTGAGTTGTGTCGGACGGGATCTGACTTACGCAGAGTGCGAGCTGCGTGAAACGTCCATAAGAGTTACAGGAAACTCGACAGGATTTGGGGCAGGCGTGAGACGAGGGCGATTAAAATAATAATAATAATAATAATCCTTGCATTTGATGTAGCGCCTTGTCATGTCTTCGAGGGGTCTCAAAGTGCTTCACGGAATATACTGTAAAGTGCGGTGACTGCATATTTTGTGGGCCAAACGCAGCAGCCAATTGCGCACAGCGTCGTCCCCACAAACAGCCATGGATCGAGTGACCGGTTTATTATTATTATTATTTTTTTAAGGAATTATTACCCCCGGAAAAGTGATCCGCCAATCGACTAATAACCGGGTTCCTGCTGACTGCCTGGTAAATAGGGGCGTGTGGCGTAAGGAAACTTGCCCCCACATTTCGCCCTGGCCGGGAATCGAACCCAGGTCCTCTCGCTTGCGAGGCGAGCGCTCTAACCGCCGAGCTACAGGACTCCCACTCAAAAAGCCACGTCGCTCACCTCCTGCACCAGGTTGCGGAGGAAGATGGTCTTCTGCCGCAGGGGATCGTGGACCAGACCCTCGGAGAAGAAGATGATACCCTGGGGGAAGTTGTGCTGGCCCAGCCACGACACCACCCGCTGCTTCTGCATGTCCGGGCGACCCGTGATGTAAATGATCAGGTAGCCCAGGTCCTGCCAGTGCCTTCAGACAGAGAGGAAGCATTGCTCTTATTAATCATAATAATAATAATTTTTTGATGTGACTTTAATTCGCCCCAATCACACGGTCAATTCACTTTACGGTGTATCCTGTGAAGCGCTTTGAGACGTCGCGAAGACGTGATATGGCACTAAATTAAATGCAATTAAATAATATTCAATAATGTTATTATTTTGTGGGTAAAACACGGCAGCAAATTTGCGCACAGCAGGTCCCGCCAACAGCCATGGAGTGAGTGACAAAGGTTGGTGGGGGATGGTGGGGAGGCGACGCAATACCTGACAACGTCCACAGCTCCCGCCCGGACCTTTGGATCGCTGCCCATGATGGAAACGCTGGCAGCGAAGGAGCCGTCGATGCTGAAGACCACACACTCCATACCCCTGGGCAGCACTGTCAAGTAGCTCTCAGCGCACGTCTGGTCTCCTCTGCGGAAAGGTCACAACCGACGACACGGTTAGACGTATAACACACGTGTGCAGACCAGATGCTGAGCCCTTACACTGCGCCTTTTCACGTCAGGAGGACATCTCAACAACAACTGGCATCTATTTAGCGCCCCTCACGCAGGGTGGGGTCCCGGATGCGTTGTTGATGCGAGTTTCTGGTTTGTGGGGGGGTGGGTTGGGGATGGAGTAAGACCGGTCACTGGGGCAGAAATTCTTCCCGCTCACCTCCCGTTATTAACCCCTGCAAACCGAAGCCCTCGAGGGTCAAGTGGTCCTGGCTGGACAAGCCGCGGGAAAGCTCGCCAGGCACGAATCTCAATGGGCAAACCACTCGCTTTTAGCTGGTTAGACACCGGGGTCTAACCCCATCCACCCCACCCACTCCCCCTTCCCCGAGCCTTGACTCTATGCCTGATACTCTCCGGAAACAGGTGAGTAGTCCCTCTGGGGAGAGAGAGGGAGAGGGAGAGAGGGAGAATGAGAGTGCGTATTCCATTCCGATGCACGTGAATTTCCATAATGTTCAGGATTGGATTGTTTGGATTCTTTTAAGCACGACCCACAGTAAACCCAGGTGGAAGGCACTCTACGCGGGCACATACCTTACGACCATCTTGACAGGATAAACCCCGAGCCCTAACCTCTTGCCCTGCGGGATGGTGTACAGGACACGGCCACTGCTGCTGGTGATCTCGGTGTCGAAGTAAACCCACCGCCCGGCTGGCGGCTCAGTCATCAGGAGGATGTCGACCTGACCGACAGGTAAACACAATGGTTTAGACTGGGCCGGGAGGTCACCCACCCCCTCCCCCAACCAGTAACAACACTCGGGGAGACTCGCAGCGCAGTGGTCAGCGCTCTCGCCTCGCGAGCGAGAGGATCAGGGTTCGGATTCCCGGACGGGCAAGTTCCCTCACTCCCACGCGCCTCTGGTTGCCCAGCGATAACTGGGAATCTCGGCGCCAGTCGATTCGTGGAACGCTTTGAGAAACGCCTCATCCAAAGAACAATCTAGCGTTGAACGCCCTGATGTGTGGGGGGAAACGGGGACGGGGACAGGGGATTAAGGCTAAGAGCAGGTGGATTTCCAAACCTCGCTGGGGCTCCGAATCCCCGTGGCGTCCGTACCTTTTCCCCGGTCAGGGTGACCATGTCCAGAGGTCCGTACATGAACCTCCCCACCAGTGTCTGAGGGCCGCCTTCCGCCACGATGCTGTCGTGGGCTCTGTGGTTCGCTGTGACGTTCTGTTGAGAAGACAAGACGTTGAACGAGCGTGAACCGGCAGCGAACAGCTCGACCGACATTGGGCTAAGTCACTGTCGGTTGAGTTGCGATCCCCAGACGTCAAAAGATCCTCACACTCGTCTACAATTCCTTTCCTGCCCCGGAGCCTCCCTATCTACCTCTCCGACCTGGTTACTCCCGACTCTACCAACCGCAGCCTCCGCTCGGCTGGCTCCGGCCTCCTGCTTGTCCCTCGTCCCCTCTGTTATACCATCGGCGGCCGAGCTTTCAGCCACTTGCCCCCCCGAACAGAGCAGAATAGACAACAGAGCATCAAGGACGATCCTCAGTGTGACAGGAATAAGCAATGAGCAGCAATTAGATAGGTTAGGAGGGAGGCTCTTTTTTGAGAGAACGCGTCTCAGAGGGGGATCTTATGCAGGTGCGTGACTTTTTAAACGGGACTGAGAAAGTAAAAGAACAGTACTTTTTATTACTATTATTATTACTTGAGGACACAAGAGGTCACAGGTTTAGAGTTGTAAAGGAACCCAGAAAGGTTTACACAATTCACGTTCCAAGGAAGTCAGAGGAATCTTATTAGAAACACTGCCAAATAGCCCCCAAACTCCCGCTACTCCAACACGCCTCGCCTCCCCCCCCCGGTGCCTTTATTCCCACCATCGGAATGATCCCTTTGTTAACATGTCAAGGCATAACAACAACAACAACTTGGATTTATATGGCGCCCTCCAGGCCGGACGGTCTCGGGCCGATCTGCTTTCCACCACAAGGTGGCGGTGACGCTCATGGGATAGCCATAAGGATCCTAGAAACGTACAGCGCGGATGAAGGCCGTCTGACCCATCGGGTCCACACGAGGAGACGTTCGGAGTAAGATGTTTATTCAATCCCACAGCCCTGCCTTACCCTTATATCCCTCACACAACAACAACAACGACCACTCGCATTAATGTCGCGCAGGGTTGGGTCCCAGATCTCTTTGGCAGTGATTGCAAATCATCTCGAATCGTTCCATTGACTCTATTTTTGGAGAGAAGCTCTAACAGTAAGAATTGTTTTTCCAAGAGGTCACCAGATCGGTTCGTACGAAGAAGGCCCTTCGAACCATCTGATGTCATCCCTCCAGAGCACCCACCCTATCGTCCCCCCATCACAGCGTCAAGCTGTTTTTTAACTGAATCCCAGTGTCCTGCTCTCAACACCCCACTTTCCTCCACGCCCGTGATTAATTACCCTGTGGGTAAAGAAATACTTCCTAGTGTCTGTCCTGAAATTACCCCCTTTATAGCTCTAGTAAGTGACATCAATGGTAAGCTATGTGGCTTTAGCTGATCAGACTCCAGCAGTTACCCCCAACGCACAGTCAGGTTCCTCGCGCCCCCAAGCCTTCGCTCGTGCCAACCTGCGCCTAATACTTTCTAGAATTAGGTAAGCAGGAAGCGTCCCTAAGGCACTGTATTGTATTGCGACTCTGTTTTGGGCGGAGCAAAGTTGGGAGAGAACCAAATACACACCCGGATCTTTACGTGGGTTCGTCTGCGAAGCCACTTCTCCCGCGGGCTGGATTCGCTGCAGGCCCCCGGATCTCCCCCCTCGCTCTTCTTCACGCCCGCACTTTCAAACCTCATCACCTGCAATTGGTAACAGTGCAAGATCTTAATACGCCCAGTCGATTGGCATCGCATTCCGAGGACAATAATGCCAAGCGAGATCCCGGGGTCGATTCCCGGACGGGGCGAAACTTTAGGCAACTTTCCTTACCCCACACATCTATGTTTACCGAGCAGTAAGTGGGAACCTGAATTTCAGTCGATTAGCTGAGCGCTTTCTGGGCTAATAATCCCTCCCCCCAAAAATTATTAATGCTGACGATTAGGTGTTACGTGGTGAGGTGTTACCTGGCGTAAGATGAACGCCAACACGTCGGTGGATTCCCAGTAGCTGGCGTGGAAGAGGTGGGGCAGCGCCACAGTGGGGAAGGCCGTCAAAGTGTCCGGACAATACAGCGCGTAGTCTATCCTCTTCGTTCCCCACCATTTTGCAGTGACTGCAGGACGCAAAGGGAGAGGATCAGAGAGTTATTTAAATGGGGGCAGAGACGGGGAATGGGGAAGCGCTCTGGGACGTTACCCTGCATGAGGGGCGCTATGTAATGTTGTTGTTGTTGAATGGGAAACGGGGACAGGGTTGGAGATGAGGACTGGACGGGGAAAGGAACAACAACAACAAATTGCATTTGTACAATGCCCTTTCATGAAGGGAGGACGTCCCAAGGCGGCTGGACAGTTAAGGGTTTGCAACCGAGCTGGGGCTTGGAATCAAGAGGGTGGGGGAGGGTGGGAGGGGAGGGTGGTCTAAGCACCGGTCAAAGAGGAAAGTCTTGAGACTGGCCTGGAAGGAGGCGAGGGAGGGGGGGGGCGAGGCGGAGGGATTCGTAGATGGAGTTCCAGAGGGTGGGGGCAGAAAAGCTGAAGGCTTTTGAGGAGCCGATGTTACGAAATGAACAATAAGACATTAAGGTGTTTTCCTCCTCTTACTGTTGGCGATGCTGGCAGCGAGGATGTTCTCTGAGGATCCCGAGACCTCGCTGGTGATGCTTGTCTGGCTGCCTCGTCGGGTCAGTCGGAGCGACTGTGTCAGGAGTGAGCCGGGCGAGGTGGGGGGTTTGAGGGTCTCCAGGAAGAGGGCAGCCTGGCTCTGGATGACTTCAGCTGCGGGAGTGAAAACAGCGTCAAAAAAACGAGGTTTCAATCACAACGATAATCTTTCTATTTGATCACAGCAACTTGTCACTTAGGGAGAACTCCTCAAAGGATTTTTTTTTAACTGCGAAGAGCAACCGTTGTAATAATAATCCTTGCCTTTTGATACAGCACCTTATCACGTCGTTCAGACGTCTCGAAGCGCTTCATAGGATATACTGTGAAGTGGATTGACTGTGTATTTCGTGGGCGAAACGCGGCAGCCAATTGCGCACAGCGACGTCCCCACAAACAGTCGTGGATTGAGTGACCAAATTATTATTTTTTAATTTTTTTTTGAAGGGATTATTACCCCGGGAAAGCGAGTCAGCAGTCAACTAGCAACTGGGTTCCTACTTCACTGCTAGTAGGAACACAGGCGTGTGGAGACAGGTAATTTGCCTAAGGTTTCTCCCTTGCCCGGGAATCGAACCCGGGTCCTCTCGCTTGCCAGGCGAGAGTGCTAAACCGGTATGCTACGGCGACTCCCAACAAAAGATAGCATAAGAGTTGGCAGGCTGTATCTCTCTAACGCCCTCCGCTCTCTAGGCATAATGCACACGGGAGATTCAGCGCTTTGCACTCACTGTGTGAAAGCTGATTTGACAGAGTGCAGATTGCAGTCTTTTCCCTCTTCAACTGGAGAAGCTTCGAACAAATTGTTCTAAACAAGCACCAATAAAGAGGAGCGCGAGAGAACGAGCGAGCGAATGTTCTCGGGGTTATTTCTAGCGAGCTTGATATATGGAATGACGGCGCGCTCAGCTGCCGTCGCTGAGAGCAAAGGCTCGGTGATCGTGCCTTCAGCAGGATCGAGATCAACGACGACAACAACTTGCATTTATATAGCGCGCCCCCCCCCGCCCCCTCACGCAGGCCAGCGTCGCAGAGCGCCTGACAGTGGCAGAGCACGATGCCTAGTCGGGGGATGGAGGGAGGGATTGGGAGGCGACTGTGATCAAGGTCGAAGAGGAAGGTCTTCAGGCCCGATCTGAAGATGGGGAAGAAGGGGCCAAGGCGGAGGGATTGAGAGAGAGAGAGAGAGTGTTCCAGAGTTTCGGGCCGTAGTCGCTCAAAAGCGCGGGCCACCGATGGTGGAACAGAGGGCATGAGGGACAAGCAGGAGACCGGAGCCGGTCGAGCGGAGGTAATATACGAGAACAATACTTTCGGAACGCACCAAGATCTTGGGCAAGAGGGCAACTTCAAGACAAACACCAGAAAGTATTTCTGTACCTGGAGGGGAATTAACCATGAGATGTAGAATCCAAAGGTGGAAGGGGAGTCAGGGAGAGTTCCACCCACCGCCCCCCCGGGGGAGAAATGGAGCCCGCTGAGCGGCGGGGAGCCGACAGGTTGGTATGATATGGAGTGAGCAGTGGTTGGGGAGGAGCAAGGCCGTGGATGGGGCTTTGAAGGTGACCAGCTCGTTAGAGGAGTTAAAATCATTCCCTAATCAGATTGTTAGAGCCATTTAAGCATCTTTAATGTAATGGGTAACGACAGGCACCAGGATGAAGGAAATTGTGGTGGTAAATAACATTGATTCAGTGCGCGCTGTCAGGGTCATTTCAGAGCCTAGTGTTTGGCTTGGCTCTTACATTGACAATTACCTTCCAGCAATGAACTGCAAAAACACGTTTCAAAAAAAAAACCATCAGCGAAAGAATCGTTAACGCCTTTAGACATGCTATTACAGAGCCAGATTGAGCTCCACGTGGCTTGTTTTTCTCTCTCTCTCTCTCTCCTTTTCTCTCTCTCCTTTTCTCTCAACTCTTACTAAGCAAAACAGGATCAGACTACGCATCGGGGCTATGACCCAACCTGAACCTCGGAGCTTGTCTGATCGCATTGGATCTCGCAACGAGGGAGACGGCACGGAAACAAGCCAATCTGCTGCCAAGCCAGTCCAGGCCAGTCCAGGCCGGGCTCAGTGAGGTTGTGGGTTTGAGCCCCAACACGCACCCCTACCACATTGTGACCTTGTACTCACAGTCTAGGCCGATGCTCCGATGGCAGTGGTCGGAGGTGCCGTCCACAAATAAAGCAATCAATAGCCCTTCACTTTAAACCTGTCACGTTAGGGCGTCAAAGCCAACCTGTGGCTTCTTCACGTCAGATTCCACCCGAGTCACCATTCACCTCTCAACCCCTCTTTCTTCTCCTCCCTGAACCCCCACCCCATTCCCTCACACACATCCCACCCCAAACCTCACTCCCCGCCCACATTCCCCACCACTATACAACCCGAACACCCCGTACCTTACTCCCCACCCCATACCTCCATATTCCTCACCCCACCTCTACCCCACCACATTGCTCTACTTCCCCACAACCCATGGCCCCCACTCCCCTCACCCGTCAACTTTGAAAACCCCCTCCCCCGCCCCGCATTCTCCCGCACCACCAATCCCCTTCCTCCACCCACCTCATTCTCGCCAGCCCACTCCAAACCGCACCAACTAACCCCCTGTCCCAATCCCATCGATCTGTGGTACAGGTTCGGTGTGAATGGTAATAAAGGTGGTTAATAGGAAAGGAAGGTGATCGTACCCAGCAGAGCTGAGCTGCCATCCCCCAGAGGGTACCTCTGATACCTGGGGACGCAGAACGGAGCCACCAGATGGAACCTCCTCTCCAGCAGTGGCTCCAGCCGGGATGCAGAGGGATCGGCCGAGTGGAAAAGGCTGTAGACCTGGGAGCAGGCGGGCCGTAACCGGCACACTGGCGACGGGAACATAGAGAGGCGTGAGGTGAACGACAAACAACAGCTGGCATTTACATAGCGCCCCTCAACGGGGAACCAAACAACAGCGACAGCACAGCACAGCGATCAACACGGGAAGTAGGCGGGTGTGTGAAGGGGTGTGGGGATCGGGCACAGGGCAAGGCAGCTCGCCGTGAGAGCTGGTGCCGACTCGATGAGCCGAATGGCTTCTTTCAGAGCTAGAAATCCCAGGCACGAGGGGACGGAACGTGATGAGAGTAAACCCAGAACTTTACTTCCAGACGGCAGAACGAGAGGACAGGCTTTACGAGCTGCGAAGAGGGACAATTTCAGGACAGGCACCGGGAAGTGTTTCCTTACTCAGAGGGTACCAACGACCGGAACGAGGTTGGCGCACAGGGTTTTGCGGGCGTAAGCGGCTGATGGCGGAGTGGAGGGGATGGGGGGCGCGGGGCATCGCCTAGTTAAGGGCCACGATGGTTAAAGGATTCTTACCGTCGACTGAAGGAAGAACAGTCTGTCTCATGGCCAGAACGAGGCCTAGTGGGGAACCAAAGAGAAAGAAGTCGGAGACTTCAAAGTCAAATCTTCCCGGGTTTACATCTAATAAATTGGTACTACTTGTCCTCTGCAGCTCAGAGTCTTCTTTCAGTGCGCTGGAGTGGATGCTGTCCGGAAAACGGATCTTTATTAAAACCCGGCGCCTCGCGGCACAAAAAACATATTCAACAACAACTTGCATTTACACAGCACCCTTCACATAGCGGGGCAGGATCTTAACAGTGACGGAGTCGGAGGGGAGGGAGGAGGTGACCGTAAGCACGTTCGCAGAGGAAGGTCTTCAGTCGTGATCTAAAAGAGGGGAACGAGCGGGCAAGGCGGAGGGATTGGCAGGGAGGGAGTTCCAAAGCTTTGGCGGGGTAGGGGTGGGGGGGGTGGTGGGTTGTGGAGCTGGCTGAAAGCACAGCCGCAAATGGTGGAGTGGAGGGGGGTCGAGGGACAAGCAGGAGGCCGGAGCTAGCTGTTCGGGGGCGGTGGATAGTGGAGTTGGGAGAAAGCAGGTCGGAAAAGTAGGGAGGTGCCAGGGCGTGAAGGGATTTGTATTCCCACTCTGCCTTGCAAATCGCAAGTTTTGCATACTTCACCCCTTCCTCAACGTCCCTCCCCCAACTCCCCTCCTTTACCCTCCCCTCCTTTCTAATTTGATGTGGGGGCGGGGTGTGGTATTAACGCATCAACTCGCGGAAACTTGAGTGAAATTAAAGAGCGTTTCATTAACACATCGCTCATGATAAGTTTTGTACAGTTGTCACCTCCGCAATGAGAGATATCTGCAGCGGTAGCACTTTAATGTTTAATGGAAGCTTATAAATGGACCTGGGAGAGGGGGGGCTGCCTTGAAGAAGCATTGCAAGCGAAGCTGGCACTTTAATTCCGCGATGCATCATGTTTATAATAATGTTCTATCATCCCTCGCCTTATGGGTCCTATTCATAAAGTCCCATTGTCGTGCTTTCCCAGTTTAATAAAGAATGTTTAGCAGTGATGGTGATCAGCTCTTTTACATTGGCCTATTTCTCTCTGTGACTACAGTAACTCAATCATTAGATAGAGAATAACAACAACTGGTTGCACTTATAAAGCACGCGTCACACAAAATAGCTCCTCTGACGTATAACATCTACAATAATAACATAATCCTCGCATTTGATGTGACGCCTTACATCGGTTATTGAACCGCCACAAAGCACTTCACAGAATATGCTGTGAAGGCTGCGTATTTTGTGGCTGAAACGTGACAGCAATTGCACGCAGCGGCATCCCACAAACGGTCGCGGATCGAGTGACTCAAAATATTCGTTACAAAATAAAAGCATTAAAGGGCACGGGGAAATAGCGGGGGATTGGGAAGGAAGGAATGGGGGGGGTGATGGGGGAGGAGGGGCGAGTGGGGCGGGGGCTAGCATTGCATCGTCAGAGGCGATGTCTTTCGGGCGAGACGCGTGCCCTGTTCAGGTGGGAGGAGAACTAAATCTGATGATATTAAGCTTCGGGGTGGGGGTGGTGGTGGGGGGGGTGGGGGGGAATCCCCTCACTTCAAAGCAGGGACGTAAAAGCGTGACTTTGGAAAATAAAAACTGTACGGCAGTTGTTTTTTGGGGGGTGGGTTACGCTTTTTGGGGTAAGTATAGAGTGTGTGTGTAAGGAGGAGTGGGGTGGGGGGGCATAACAACCCGCCGAGTGCTCGCAATCGTATTCGGTTGTTCCTCGCCCACCGCCCCCACCCTCCGCCCACCCCACCCCATCCCACTCCCTCCCGAGCGGCACGACAACCGACCCATCCCCGGTTACTACTACCTTGACAGAAAGGCGTGATGCTGCGTGATGCTGTCACAGTCGTAGGTGGACGAGTCGCTCTGCTTCCGCGGAAACGTTTGCCTCGACTCCTCGGCATCGATGCCCGACAGGTCGATGTTGCTCTTGCTCAGCCTCTTGCTGGTGGTCAGGCCGCTCCCGGCCTCGTCCGTCGAAAGTGCGTTGTCCTTTGCGGGGGAAATCAAGGGAGAGCCAGCAGTCAGTAACAGAAACCACCCACCCACTCACCGCCCCCCCAACACCCCCCCCACCACCCACCCCCACCCCGGCCCAAGGCAGGAGGTGACTGCAAGCATGCTCGAAGAGGAAGGTCTTCAGTCGTGATCTAAAACTGGGGAGGAAGGGGGCGAGGCGGAGGGATTGAGAGGAAAGAGGTTCGAAGCATCAAGTCCTCATTGGCTTTCAGAGAAAAGGGTTCACATCAAACCCACTGCCCTGCCCTATTCCCACACCCCTCTCAGCCTCTATCCTTCAATTACCCGTCTACGTCCCTCTCGAAACCCACGATGGACTCTGCCTCTGTGACCCTCGGTACTCGTAAAAGGGTGTTGGTGGGGGTGGGGGAATGATCGCCGGCTGATTGTAACCCCCAGTGTCGAGCTTGAGTTCCCTCTCAGCTACCTGAATACTGCTGCTGCTCCCCCTCCTGCTGCTGTCCTGGCTCTCGGCTGTGGTGCGAGCACTGTAACACAAGGCATCGAAGCCCAGGATTCCCCCCACAGAGTCGCCAATCAAACACACCTGTACAATGGGAAAACATAGAATGAGTAATAATAATAATAATAATCCTTGCATTTGATATTGAGCCTTTTATCACGTCGTTGAGACGCCTTGAAGCAAGTCCCGTTTAGCCGAGAGGAGGGAGGGAGGGAGGGAGGGGAGATCGGAGAGAGAAGGAGATGCTGGAGCTGGATGGGTTTGGCAGTCGCGAGCGAGCCTGGACGTTCCTGTGATGAGGCTAAGCTTGAACCCACACCAGGGGAGAGCGCGGCTGAGCGGGCCAGGCTGAATCATCGTGACACATTTGGGATTGATGTGAAGGATACGCCTGATAACCATCGCAGGTTTCATCCAGTGTCATCTCCGCTCCCTGTGCACTGCTGCCCTAAGCGTCAAGAGCATTTTTCATCCTGTGCTAAACACCGCTCTCTGTGTCGGGAACGCTTCATCACACGGGAGGCGAACCTAAAAGCACGTTTCACGCGGCGTCGATGCTTGTCACCGCGATGGGAACGCCGATCGGAATAGCGGGATCTTTCCTGTGGAATTACTTTCAGCCCGTACACCTGCGGTTCTTAATGGACGAGCCGAGACCAAAGGCAGGTTTCACCCCAGTTTATTCCTGGTCTCCTCCATCGAGAGAATAGCAAACGGAATAAATTTCATCCATTTACACAGGGCCTGTGTATTTCATGGACGGAATGTGGCAGCCAATTGCCCACAACAGCGCCCCACAGACAGTCGTGGATTAAGTGACCATTTTTTGGGAGGGATTATTACCCCTGAGAAAGCAATCCGCCAATTCACTAACAACTGGGTTCCGACTTACTTACTGCTCGGTAAACAGAGGCTTGTGGGCTAAGGAAACTTGCCTAAGGTTTCACCCCACTCCGGGAATCGAACCCGGACCCCCTCGCTTGCGAGGCGAGCGCTCTAACTACTACTTTGGCACTGTACCAAATGTAAAGTTTATCATCGTATAGAAGATGGAGCCCCATCCTGAGACTGAGAGCATTGACCGTCTAGGAGATGAAATGAATTGGGTGGCCAACAACAACAACTTGCATTTATCTAGGAGCCCTTCACGCGGGTTAGTGTCCCGGAAAGCTTCGTCACTGACCTGCCCACCGAATCCAGACCCCTCTTCGGACTTCAGGAAGTCGCTGTAGATTTGATTGGCTCGACTGATCACTGTGCCGACCGCATCCTGGTACTGCGGGGAGGAGATGGCGAGCAGCGGGAGGGCTGCCAGGGGCATGTGGTCCTCGCTGCTGCTCAAGCAACCTTCGTCGTAGCTGTACGGGTTCAGACTGCAGAGGGCACAAGGGTTTTTAACGTGAAGTCCGGGCATTCGTCAAACAAAACAAACAGTCACTACAGCGTTACCCTGCATGAGGGGAACTACATGAATGCAAGTTGTTGTTGTTGTTGAAAGACGCTATACCAAACGTATTATTATTATATTTATTGACTGTTATATTACTATTATTATATATTATATGATCATTGACTCATTTCCAAATTCTTCTTCGAAAAAAATCATTTAATCACTCAAGGTGTCCTTTCACCTCCATCCTCAACTTGCCCAGCGCACGACACTCTACAAATTGCCAATTTAACACTACTACTACTACCACTAATAATAATAATTCTTGCATTCAATGCCCATTTAAAACATCAAAGCATCGCATAGAGGATTCGAGGAATTACTGTAAAGGGGAGTCACTGCGGGAAAATGCACAGTCGGGCTTTTGAGACATCGTCTCTTGAGGCACGAACAGGGCTGTACCGAACGCGAGGAGCATTGTAACAAAGAGATCATTCATCACGTGGGTGTTTGTGGGGCCTCACCGTGGGTCTAAGACACATTCACTGCACTTATAATGATAATAATAAAATAATTGCCCATGAAAAGGTGCTTTGAAATGCTGGATCAAACACAAGGATTATTATTCCTCCGCTCAACATTCCAGCTAAACATTGCAGGGCTTGCTGGCGAATCTCTCCTGCTAACGTGCTTACACTATCAGGCTCAGTGCAGAATCATCTGTCAGAGCTGGTTGTTATAATCCTGATGTTATTTAGGGAATGCTTCTCAGAATGTTTACATAACCAACGCATTTTCTGGGCGTTTCGCCCACAAAATATACAGTTGATCCACTTTACAGTATATTCTATGAAGCGCTCCCGTGAGACGACTGAGCGACGTGATAAGGCGCTATATCAAACGCAAGGATTATTATTAGCATTATTATTATGACGGTAAAACTCCTGGTAACTCGTCACTCCAAGGGAAAAGTGTCTCAGTGACGAGTTATCCAGAGTGGGGAGCCAGGCATATGTATAAATACGTAGATGTGGCCGGATGACTTAAGTGGTTATTGACAAGTTAAGTCAGGGTCGAGTTATCAGGAGTTTTAATATATATTCCAATCCTGCTACCTTTATGGGAAAAACACTTGATTTTGCCACTAGCAGCAAAAATTGCTGATCGAATCGTGACGCGAACAAACAGAAAGAAAACCGCATGGGGTCATGCCCCGAGCTCCAGTATTAAAACAATTTGCCTTTCACGCCGGGAGGACGTCCCAAAGCGTCTCACAGGACTTGAAAGTCGAGTGTAGCGACGGTGTGTTTTCGCAGGTAACACGCAACAACCAATTTGCGCGAGGTAATGCCCTCACAAGCAGCCCCCGTCCCCGCAGTTACGGCAGACTCAATGGGCAGACCCAATAGAGCGGATGCACAGTAATCAGAGCAGAAGATTACCTTCACCTCTAGAGAATAAAGCAACGCATAGTGAACTTTCCAGAGAGCTGAACACGAGAGGCAATGAGATCACTGACATTTGATGGAGTTGCAATGATACGACGGGGAATTTTGAAACTGGGACCCTCTCGCTGGGGACCGGGGGGTTGGAAACGGTTGCTTTTTTTTCCGTACCTGCTGTGGTCGGGTCTCTCTGCTTGTCTCTCTGCCTGTCAGCGCCAATCGAACGTGAATGACAAAACAAAATGGCTTGGAAAAATGTGACTCTTCAGATCTGAACTCAAGTCTTCAAGTGAGCTCTCCAGGGAGTCAATCAACTGCGACTGGCGTTTCAACCAAAATAGCCCTCTGCAGATTTATCATATTAATAATAATCATCATCCTTGCATTTGACGTTCTGCTGTATCACGTTAGCCGAGACGTCTCAAGTTTCTTCTCAGGATTTCGCTGTCATATGCAATAACAATAATTATAATCCTTGAATTTGATATCGGGTCTTGTCACGTCGTTGAGACGTCTCAAAGAGCTTCACGGAACACACTGTAAAGTGGATTGACCGGGTATTCCGTGGACGAAATGAGGTAGCCAGTTGCGTGCAGCAGTGTCCCACAAACAGCCATGGACCGAGTGACCAATATTATTTGGGGGGATTGTCGGCCAGGACACCGGGACAGAGAAACTTCCTTCTTTTTTCAAATAGCGCCGCGGGATCTTTAACGTCCACTTGAACAGGCAGACGGGACCTCGGTTTATTGTCTCATCTGAAGGACGGCACCTCCAACAATGCAGCGCACCCCAGCACTGTGTTGGAGTGTGAGTGTAGACTGTGCGATTCCAAGTCCCAAAGTGGGACTTGAACCCACAACCTTCTAACTCAGAGGCGAGAGCTACTGACTTGAGCCAGGCTGACACCCATGTGTAGAGATTGTGTATTTGAAGGCTATTCTTGACTGACACGCCCGTGCGGTGCTGGATTAAGGCATCAAATTCAAGGTCCCCGTCCGTGCCTTGTTCAGACAGACGTTAGAGATCTCCCATGGCACTACTCGAAAAGAGAAAGCAGTCTCTCTCCCAGCGTCCTGGCTGACAGTACCCCCACCCCCACCAACACAGAGAGAGAGGGGAAAACAGCAGCCACTTACTTCACGGCTGTTTGGGGACATTGCGGTGCGCAAATTGACTCCAGGGTCGGCCTACAAGATTTACACAGTCACTACACTTGGCTGGAGTGACGTGAAGTGCTGCAGCAAATGAAAATAAAATTGTTATTAATATGCCGAGTCACTCTGAGGAATGACATGAACCTGTGCAGCTTAAGATGGGATTGCTGTCTGATCCGTACAGTTTATCGTTTATTTTAAGAAGCCAGAAGAAAAAAATAAAAGGAACAAAAACCTCAATAATGAGGGACCGAGGTGTCGCAAAGGAAAGGAAGATTAAACCCATGTGCCCTCTCCCCTCAGTCCGTCTCACAAAACACTGCCATGAATTATTCCTGCAAACGCAGTTGTGTGGATTAATGGACTACTGCCTCAGCTCTTATGTCTTCGTGAAGTTTATTAATACCTTGTCGGCTTCTGGAGAAGCGCTCATTATTTAAAGCGTTTCAAAAGGTTCTTGGAAACGTCCAATAATTGGGCCCAGAGGTGCGGAATTAAACAAAGAAAAACAACTAAACCCAACGAGGAAAGGGTTTTCAATCCTGAAGATATATTGAGATTCGAGATGGTTTTAAAAAGCACAGCTAAGGTCCCCATCTGTGCCTCTTTCCCTGCCGCATCGTTACGATTTCCCAAAAGGCCATTTTGATTTTGGCAGAGGGATATTTGATAGGTAGAAACTAGCCTGTGTGTGCGCGTGTGTGCGTGTGTGCGCGTCTGTGGCGTGTGTGTCGTGTGTGTGTGCGCGTGTGGGTGTGTTGGTGTCAATACATTATGTGAAGCCACAGATTTTAGGCTTCAAATCAGCTCCAGTCATCTGAAACGAGGTACACGATGTCAGTGGAGGCGTCCTGCCAGCTGAGAGATGTCATTCGTACCCCCCTCCCCAGGTGAGTGGCACCTGTCTTATCTTGGTAGCGAGGCAGTCAGCTGATAAGACGCTTTCTGGGGAAATCAATGCAGTCGGAATTGCGATGTCTGTCACTAAATTCCCCCGTGTCGGCCTTTGACTGTATATTTCGTCGGGGAACACGACAGCCAATAGCGCACAGCAGTGTTCCACAAACAGTGGTGGATTGAGTGACCAAATTATTATGTGTATTTATTAATTTTGAAGGGATTATGACGCCCCAGAAAGTAATGCGCCAATCGATTAACAACCTACTTACCGACAGGTAAACAGAGCTGTGTGGAAGTAAGGATACTTGCCGAGGGTTTCGCCCTGCCCGCCCGGGAATCGAACCCGGGGCCTTTTGCTCGCGAGTGCACTTAGCACTACTCTACAAGACTCAAAACTCCTTCTGATTGAAAGGCGTGAACGCTACCAACTGAGCCCTGGCTGGCGCACACATTTGCTGTTGTTATAGTCGGTTTCTCATTTACGATTTACGGTACCTCAGAAATCTGTAACAAAACCTCCAGTGCAATATCCAGCTTACGATTTCCATAATCACATCACCAGAGAGTGTGTCTGGGCGTCGCAAACACAAATGCTGTTCTCCACAGATCCACACTGTTGTAATGATATTATGCAGATTGCTTTTGAGTTTGCATGTTTGCCTGAGCCTTGCAGGCAAAGTGCCAGCCATTCGGATTATTAATAACCTGCTAGGTAAGCCTTACGCTTAGATGAAGTGCTTTTCACGGGCGCGGAGGACTCCTCAAAGGGCTTCTTGTGGGATTCACCGACAAGTGCAAAAAAAATAATCATTAGGTCACTCAATCCCTGGCTGTCTGTGGGACACTGCTGTGTAACGTTCCTCACAACCATTCACAGGGAATTGTTGGTCAGGACACCGGGAGAGAGAGAAACTCCCTTCACTCAGAGCATTTCCCATCTGGCTATTTGATTAGTTTAATTGTTTCTTTAGCAGCATTGCGATGAGCTGATGGCAAGTTTATTAAAAGAATTGGCCTGTATTATCTTTCGTACATCGTTCCCTAGTGGCTTTTCAGACATCATCTTAAAGCAGGTCCAAGGTGTTTCCTCATTGCTGAAGGTTTCAGGTCAGTGGAATCCGCAGACGCAAACTCACCAGGGTCCGCTGTGATCCGGGAACTTCTGTTCATCGGATGAGACATTAAAACCAAGGCACCGTCTGCCCGTCCAGGTGGACGGTAACGATCCCGCAGCGCTAGTCGCAAAAGGAAGGGAGTTTCTCTCTCTCGGTGTCCTGGCTGACAATCCCCCAAATAAAAATAGGTCACGCACTCCATGGCTGTTTCTAGGACGTTGCTGTACGCAATCGGCTGCCCCGTTTCGCCCAAGGAATACAGGAGGTGGGGAGGCTCAAATGGAATTATAGACACCTCTAATGTGGTCTGGACTTTAGAACGAACCACTTTACGCAGCGACAGTGCAGTGAGAAGGTGACGCTGAGGCAGAAAGCGTCAACGTATTGCAGAGAAAAATTAAAAACTTGATGCCTACCATGAGAAAGAGGGGGATCAGGAGGGGTAGAGGCGGGGGCTGGTGTGGAGCGCTCTGAGACACTACATATACATGTAACTTGTTGTTGTTGGGAATACAAACACCGGCGTAGACTAGTTGGGTGGATTAGTCGTTTTTCGTGCTGTAACATTCGCTGGAATTCTACCTAAAGCCACTAAAGATAGCGTTCGTTCCCTTATTCTTTGCTCAGACAGACTCTTGACAGTCAGCCTGACCTGCACAGGGCTGACACAAAGAAGCAGTGAAACACGGTAAGGTGGGATGGGGTGGGGACGGGAAGAGAGCTCAACAGCGCTCGAGGCTGAGCTTAATAAACAGCCCTGAGCCGTCCTTATTAAATATTAATACCTGTCATGTGGAGTCAGGCTCAGTGGGAGCACGAGCGAAAGGATCGAGGGAGGGAGAGAGAGTAACTGCAAGCCACCCACCATGAGTTAATTGAGGCCACTTACTTGGAGACCAGGGAGAAGGCTGCGGAGCAGATGGGAGGGCAGGGGACGGACTTGACGAGGACGTGGCCCAGGGCGGCTGGGAAGTGGGCTGTGGTGACCTTCTCAAGGACTGAAGTGAAGGTGTTGACGTCGGCGGTCTTGGAGCTTTGGTCTCCTCCCCCCGTGTCCAGGATGTTGCCCCCGTGAAGAACCAGGACCAGCACACGCACCTTGCACTTCTTTACATCCTGTCGCAGGCATTAAAAAAAGAGGCACGTTAAAATAAAATGATTATGGGGGGGGGGGGGAGGAAAGGGAGCGGGGGTGAAAGGGAGTAAAGGGGAAGTGGCCGTAGGTCACAGTCGAGGAGCTGGGTGTCCAGAACACCCTCGACTCCAGTCCAGGTCGCAAACCCCTTGCCCATTTGTGGGACAGGCTGTCGCGTTTCACCCACAAAACTCACAGTCACTTCACTTTACAGTATATTCTGTGAAACGCTTTGCGACATCTCAACGACATGGTAAGGCCCTATATCAAATGCTAGGATTATTATTATTATTATTATTACTGTCCAGGGCTTGGGACATCCTCCCGACGTGAAAGGCGCGCTATATACAGTCATTTTTGTTGTTGATAAAGGCAGATAAGGGAGTGGGGTGGGGGGTGGAGGGTCAGAGGGGAACAGGCGGAGCAGGCCATTGAGGGAGTAAGGGCATCAGTAACAAAGCCCCCCCACCGCTCCCTTCTCCACCTGCTGATGGCGGGGCAGGGGAAGCGCGACTGAGTTAAACTGCGCATCAGTTGGTAGCATGCTTACCTCCATCTCCTCCACGCTCGCTTGAGTGGGGCATCCTTGTCTGGTCAGGGACTCGCCATATATCTCACCTGCGAGACAAGAATTCTGCCTATCAATATCCCGGCTGCACTTACTTGCGTTTGCGTCCAAACGCCTAATTCGCTGCTCCTGATAGCTCGCCGCTGAAACCCTTTTCCACTTGGAGCCAGGAGTAATCAGGAGTTTACTGCGTCAGCCACTCCCGGAGGCGCAGCTGAAGGAACCCCCCATGCAACCATGGAGGCCGTTCCCGGCCGACAGTTGCCCAAATCGAATCAAATCGCTCGCTTCACAGCTGTTTGCGGAGTGGTTGGGGGTGGGGGAGAGGGGCTGTTGGGAGTGGGGGACGTCGCCATGCGCGAATCGGTGGCCGCCTTCGCCCACAAAAAGCGCAGGCTCCCTCCACTCTACTGTGCATCCCGCCAAGCGCCTTGGGACGTGCTCCCTCATTTCCGACGTAGGGATTATTTTTGGGGCGGGTGGAGACGTGCGTCCAGACGCCTGCTCTATCAGCTCCGTGCAGCTTCCTGCTCTTGATTCTGAATGAGCGCCGGCTGAGGGACTGAGAGGAAGAGCAGGGGTGGGAGTAACAATTGCGGGAGGATTAATTCGGGGGAGTCGAGTCGATTCGTGTCCAGAGGCGGCTGTGAATTTTATAGGACGGACCCAAATTACATCCAAAAAAAAAAGCAAGGCATTATCCGAATTTATGCATAGCTTCCCGAGTCATGAATATTTAAGTAACCCCTTACTGGTTAGTTTAATTAACTCTTTGTTACCATCATACGATTATCTTCAGCAAGTCAGATGTGGTAGGCACGTTACTATTCGAACACTGTCCCTTTGTTGGCAATCCCCCTCCACACGCCCGCCTATTCCACCCGCACCCCGGGGTACAAAATTGGACGTCGAGTTGCCTAAAAACACACACACGCTCACTGCACTTTACAGCGAGTTTTGTGAAGCGCTTTTGAGACGTCCTCCATTTGCGATAGGCGCTACAACAAATGTAAGGGCTATTATTATGCTCACTATGTAAAACCTTCCAATCTCTCCCTTCCTTTGCTCGAAAATGCTGCTGCTATAAATACTCACGTGACTCCTTTCAAGGCACTTTGATGCATATCAAATGCAAGGATTATTATTATTATTTATATGATTCATATAGATATATATATCAGCCGCTAACGTGTGAAGGGTTAAGTTTTAGAGAATTTTTTTTTAAAAAAAACACCCGCTGGCAGGTGACACGGTGCACAGGAGGCAAATATGAATTAATTCGAATTTCCATCCAAAGCAAACAGATTAAAATAATCTGATTTGAATACATTTTGCCGCAAATCAGATTTCATTTGCAGGGAGACTGAAATGGTGCAGAGCTTTGCGTTGGCAGTGTCTTCAGCCTGTTTCTTTTCCACTAAGATTGGTTTAGATGTCAGCGCTTGGCTCGCTCGAGAGCACAATCACCTCTGATTCAGTCAAGGCTGTGGGTTCAAGTTGCACCTCAGGGGGCTTTGACCTCACAGTCGAGGCTGACGATCCAACTCAGTGCTGGGGGGAAAGCTTAGTGGTTAGGGCGCTCGCCTCGCAAGCGAGAGGACCCGGGTTCGATTCCCGGTCGTGGTAAAATGTGAGGCAAGCTTCCTTATTCCACACGCATGAATCTGTTTACCTCCCAGTAAGTTGGAACCTGATTGTTAGTCAATTGGCGGATCGCTTTCCGGGGGAAATAATTCCTCCCCAAAAAAATAATAATTGGTCACTCACTCCACGAATGTTTGTGGGACACCGCTGTGCGCAATTGGCTGCTGCGTTTTACCCACAAAACACAGTCAATCCACTTTACAGTATATTCTATGAACCACTTTGTCGGGGGAATAGTCGGGGGGTGGGTGGGGGGGGGAACAATTTCTAAAACGCAGCAATATTTCACCCCAAATGATAAATAACTGAACCTTTTCAGCAAAGCACTAGCCATCGCCGGTTTCGCAAGAAATTAAAAGTTTTTATAAAACGATGCATTACTTTCGCAGCCCTGAATTCCGAACTGGGTTCACTGGAAAGTGAAGCGTCGAAATGTGTCACTGGGCAATGCTTCAGCTGAGCAGAACAGATTGCTGGAGCATCGCAAAGCAGCGGGGGCTTCCTAATAACAACACATTTCCCGTGTTGTGACGCGCTCCGCAATTAAAGGCTGTCGGTTACCAAAAAAAAATTAGCCCCTGACCTCCCGATCGCTCTGTACCGCTGACCTTCTGCGGCTCAATAACATGCAAACCGCTGTAACTGTCAAGACGAGCAGAGGTGTGAGAACTTGCATAAATAACTTGCATTAATAAGTTCAGCTGGATGAAACAGGAGTGTGTCCACAGAATGGAGCTCATCCCTCAAGTCCAATTTGTTTTACCTGCCACAGAGCTAATCCTGGCGGTTGATGATAATTATCCTTGCATTTGATGTAACGCCTTATCACATCGGTTGAGACACCTCAAAGAGCTTCACAGAATATATCGTTTTTGGAGGGATTATTACCCCCGGAAAGCAATCCACCGATAGACTGAAAACCAGGTTCCTACTTACTGCTAAGTAAACAGAGACGTGTTGGGAGTAAGGAAACTTGCCTAAGGTTTCACCCCACCCCAGGAATCGAAACCGGGTCTTCTCGCTTGCAAGGCGAGAGCGCTAAACCACTTCGCTATCGGGCTCCAAAGAGGAATCTCGCCCCAATCTAAAACACCTTGTTGGTAACTCAAGTGTTAAAACATAGCTAATTCAATTTGCTACACACTGTAACTCTGCTCGTAATTAGCAGGGTTCATTTGCACTTGTTCTCCCTGGTGGATTTTGCCTTGTATTTTTCAGAGAGCAGCGTTTCAGTTCAACCATCCATGCCCGAGAAAAATCACTGCATTCCAGGGGGCGGGAGCTATTTTTAAAAGTAAGCAAAGATTTCAGCTGCGTTTTGCCTGGGAATGATTATTCAATCGGGGAGAAGAGTGAGAGAGAGAAAGAGAGACAAAGAGAGAAAGTGGTGTCAAATGGCAGGGAACATGGAAAGCTACCCAATTTTCCTTAATTACTGTCAGAGTCATGGAAGGAGTGAGTACCAGTTGGTCTTCACACAGGTATTGCCATTGATGTGTCAAGGTTTCAAACCGTGAGGACAAGGCAAATTCAAAAGGGGATTCCAATAATCAAAGTGTCAGACTGGCCCACTCGGTGGCACGCTCGCCTCAGGGACAGGGTGAGGGTTCAAGCCCACCCCCACCTCAGGACTTGGGAGCTCACAGTCAAGGTTGACGTTCCAATGCAACGCTGGGGCCGGGAGCGTGGCATTGTAATTTGGACGTGACACTGAGTTCCCTGTGTGACCTATTCAGGCGGACGTTAAGGATGGTGTGGGGCCACTTGATAAGAGAGAAGGGAGTTTCTCCTGGTGCCCTTGTCAGCTGGCTCAACACAGCCATTTCACTTCACGGTAGTTTGTGAGACCTCGCTGTGCAGAGATGGTCGCTGTCGCCTTTGCCCACAAAACAGTCACTGCACTCAACGGTAATAGTCCACAAAGTTTTTTTTTGGGTGTGGGCGGGTGGGGAGGAGGCATAAAGCCCAATATGGCTCTGCAACAAATGTGAGGCTTATTATTATTGGGTGATGTACGAGTCTCTCTGTGTGGTGGTTGCACTCAAAGACATGATGTATTGGTTTCATTATCCGGTGAATGCGGTCTCAGTGACTTCACAATATAATGTACGAGCGGCGTAAAGGGAAGCGACGTGCCTAACAGCCTTCGCATACGTTTTCTGTCTGAACTTGACTCTTTCATTAAGTTTTTCCCCATTTCCCCCCACCCCATACACACACACCCCCGTCAAGGTGTTTTTGGCGTAGCCCCGTGATAGCGATCTCCCAACAGAATACTCGCAAGAATCTACATGTTGCAGGGCTAAGACGCAATACCGACGAGAGGGTTTGCGGATAAAACCCCAACGCTCCTGGACCGCGTTCAGCCTCTGATGTTCACGGACACACAAATGCCGAGATCGACACACGAAGGAACCTGGAAACGCACGAATTCAGACATGCACACAAACGTACATGCCCACCACACACACACACACACACACACACACACAGTCACACGCAAATACACCCACAAGCACACACATTCATTCAAAACAAAGGAGTACATAACACACATACACATCCAGAAATACACATGAACAGATAGACGTACAGAAATATACACACACTGTTGCAGACATTCACACACACGCGCGCGGAGGCAGAGGTCTCACAGAGCCAGTGACAGCCAGCTCGGCCTCCCCTGCCATTTTTAGCTTTCTCTTGACAAGTGGTTCACACGGAGTTTGTTGTCAGTGAATAAAGTAACTCCGGGGAAATGGAGCGGCACCAGAGGAGGTGAGTGACGCTGCTTCCTAACAGCTTGAAGCGAGTCAGGGAAGGAAAGGATTGTGGTGGCAGCCCCAGTCCGACCGCCTTTCACTTTCACTGCACAGCTTGTCAGCTGGCTCAACACAGCGGGTGGCGAGAGCACAGAGGTATCTCAACCGTGCCATCTGTACGTAATGCTTATAAGATGTGTGCTGTCTGTGCACTCAACTCCAAACGACATCTCAATGAGCCACTACTTCTTTCATATTGCAGCTAGGGCGAGATTTCACTTGTTTCTGGATGGGCTCTACTTATTTCTACACCTTGTATGATCCTCACCCCCCCACCCCCCACCCAAAACAAAATAAAACTTACTGAAAAATTACCGGCTTCAAAATAAAGGCTGGAGGCAGACTAGAAGATGAGAATGTTGCATCCATCTCACACACACGACGACATCAATTTGCATTTACAGTGACCTTCACGCAGGACAGCTCGATACCGAGCCACAACAAATTACATTTGGACGCAAGCTGGGGGTTGGGATTAGGAGCGGTGGAGAGCAGTAGGGGTGGGAGGGTGACCGAAGGCACAGTCGAAGATGAGGATCTTGAGACAGGCCTTGAAGGAGATGAGGGAGGTGGCGAGGCAAAGG